AGTTTAGCAGTGTAAGTATTTTAGAGTGTAAAGCTTCCAAATACATTTTAGTGTTATTTCTAGGTGCAGCTGAAATTCTTGTCACCTCCTTCATCGCCAGGAGGATGGCTGCAAGTTCAAGGCTAGCCTGAATTACCTTGTCTCAAAAAAAAAAAAAAAAAAAAAAGCACTGAAAATGATAGAAAAAGAATGCTGTGCATGTTGTCTTCTGGTTTCCTGACCCATTTCTTGTGTTTGTTTCTACCTTCTCATCCACGCTCTGAGTGAAGCTGGCGCTGTCTCCTCCCAGGGTCCCGAATGGCAGCAGAAACCCCTGCGCGAGCTCTCAGCCCAGAGACGCGCAGTCCAGAAATTACCCGGATGCCAGAACATAACGGACCTGGCTGACGCTTTTCCTGGTCAGACCCACCCGCATTGTTTCCTCTTGCGTTCCCCACAAGGTTCTTGTAAATTTCTGTCTCCCTCTATGGGGAACACTTTACCCTCACTGCGCTCTTGTACAAATGCCATCTTACCCTCCAAGTCCGCCTTAGGTGCTGCTCGGGCACCAGGCTCTGACTTCACCTCACACCTAGCCCTACAGTGCCGACACGGCATTTGTAGAATGATATGTCTTTAATTCAGGATTTTGGGCCACAAAGGTTTCACATTTGCTCTGGACTTCACCTTACCCCAAACTTAGCATGCATTGCACTGAGCAGTTTTTGTGAAAACCATAAATTATCTCATCGAAAAAATTTTAATCATGTATAAATTATAAAATAGGTTTATCCAAGGTGTGGAGTACAAATTTAACAAGACAAAAGCTCCTGGAAGCTTGTTTCGGCTAAGAAAATCCTCGTATTATCATCAGGAGTAAGGACAGGGTCTGTCACCCGTGGTGGGAGCCAATCAGTATCAAACGTTGTTCCTGCACTTATGACCCTCGTCACTGTCGTCTGCCCAAGGACATCACCTCCATAATCACCCCTTCTCCTGGATCACTGCTTTTCCCTCTCCCCTGGGTCGCTACCATTAATAAAGTATTTCCTGCCTCAAGCAAAAACAGAAAGCTTTCCTTGATCTATTCCTGTTGCTTCTCACTCGTTCCCTGTAAATGGCAAAATACCTCAGTGAGTCATTTTCTTGCCCTCTCTGTTTACATTTCTGCTTTCTCCTGCATCCACAGTAATGTGGCTTCTATACACATTTGCGTGGCTGTCGGTGCGCTCCATGTGGCCTAGCTGGAAATCTGTGCTAGCAGCCTTGTGGAGCCCCTGAGAAGAAGATGCCTGCACACCCAGGTCACATTCACAGGTTCCAGCAGGGAAGCTGCAGCTGGGGTAGCACCTGGAACTGGGGCTGCTAAGTGGTTGGCCTGTGGTGCTCCACAGTCCTCCCCAGGAGCCACCTGGTCTCTGCAAGAGCCCTGGTGAGATAAGCAGAGTCCTGCAGACACCGCGAGCCTCGCAGACCTTTAGTGGTATTTGGACTTGCAGCCGTTCCCCTGGAATTCCATGTTGGTTTTAATTTACCTTTTGAGCTGAGGAAGGGGATGAAAGAAGGGGGCATTTTCAGAGGTTTCCACTTGGACTCCCATCCTGTGGTATCTTCTGCCCCCACCACAGGCTGAAGGCTCCATCAGACAGTAGCTCCAACCAAAAAGCCTGTTGATCCCAATTACTCATAACAGTGAAGAAATGACCATAGGTGGGTCTGTGGACCCAATGGACCCAGGGCAGATTAGACTTCAGGACTTGGCTCCATGAGCCTCAGTAAGAGAGGAGATAAATTGATAAGTTGATGCTTCAGGTCTCCAGACACCAGTGTCAACTCAGACCCTGTGTCCATGAGTCTGACATGCCTGGGAGTCCTCTGTCCTTCACACGCACCTACAATGGTGTTGCAAGGTCTTTCCACGCAGGCCCCACTGACTTCCACAGTGGATGACTGCAGATCTGAAACTAGCTCAGATCTGAGAACGGAGAAGGGATCATGATTTTCATTGGAGTGACTATGGCAGCCCCCTCCTGTTTTGCCTTTGTGAAGGTTAATTTTAGATAACAACTGACTAGATTAATAAATACCAAGATGACTAGTAAAGCATTATTTCTGGGTATATCTGTGAGAGTATTTCCAAAAGACACTGGCGCTCAAAGTGGGCTGCAGAAGGAAGAGCCCCGTCATTTGATGTGGATGGGTACCATCCAGTCAGCCAAGTCCAGACAGAACAAAAATTCATCCTCTCTCTCAGTCCCTCTCTCCTCCCCGCTCAATCTCTACCTTATCTCTATCTCTATCAGCTCTGTCTGTCTACCTCTCTCAACTGGGATACATCTTCCCCTGCTCTTGCCCATCAGAACTCCTGGTTCTCTGCCCTTCAGACTCTGCGACTTGCACCAGTAGCCTCCTAGTTTCTCAGGCCTTTGGCCTTGGAGTTAGAGTTGTGCCATTTGCTCCTCTGCTGGGGGGCCTTTGGATTTGGACTGAACTAAGCTACTGGCTTTCCTGGTATCTACCTATCTATCCATCACCTACTATCTATCTATCTATCTATCTATCTATCTATCTATCTATCTATCATCTGTCATTTATCTACATATTCTATTGGTTTTCTTCAGAGAATCCTGACAGTAGCCTTTTACTGACTGTAAATGTTAAAGGCCAGATGCTTGTCTCTTCTGCTCTGGGGGTAGCATCCTGTGTTAACCACCTTTAGAACACTTTATGGTCAAATCCCTTTGGCTGCCTCCCCTCCCGCATCATGCAAATGGAGCCCTCCAGCTTCTGCTGATCAAGTAAAGCCATCCAATCTCTGTTCTGTCAAGGCTGTGGCATGCCCAGGGCTGTCAGCAAGCTCTGGGATCATCTCTCCTGCCCTCCTGACCTGAGCTTCTTGGTGATGCTGAGAGAGAGACCCTCTCACCAATATGTTCCTGATAACTTTGGTGGAAAATGTGTCCCTGGGGGGGAGGTCTTCCAGCCTCACATGAGATGTCTCTACTATCCCCACTACCCTCAGTCTTCTTATTCCTTCTTCTACCTGCTTGTAGGGAACTCACTTTATCTCAGAACTTTCAAGTCCAGCCTAGCCACACATTAACCTCATCTCCCTGGGGCTTTTCCAGGTTGTGAAATCTGCTGTTCTAGGAAGGTCTCATCCAGAGAATGGACTCTTACTTGGTTGTCCTCATCTTCCTGTTGCCTTGATGGGGCACCTTCAGGGAGCAATCCCAGCATGGCTCCCTGGCTCCTGCCAGTGTTTGATGGTGAATTCTCAGATCTCCCTTGGAATGTAATTTCTTTTCTGCTTTATCTGACCCAGGGTGTCTTTAATCAAGAGACCCATCAGGCGGTCAAGAGGAGAGGTGGGCACAGGTCCATGGTCAGTTGGGAAGTGACCTAGATTCTCCTACAGAAGAAGTGCTAGTTCTCACTTTGGAGGGGTGGGCCACTGGCAAAGGAGGCAAAATTCTTGGGGCATGCATGCAAATACCCTCGTTCTGTGTATCAGGCTCCTGAGCCTTCTCAAAGACCTTGAGTGAAGACCTGACTGAACCCTAAAACCTCTGGAGCTCTGCATCATTGTGGAAGGCTGAAGTGGCACCTCAGGGAGGTATATTTTTGTTTCTTTATTGTGTCTCTTCCTTCAGCTAGCACCCAGCACTGTACCCTCCACAAAGACAGAGACCCTCTTTCTGCTCTCTGTCCCTAGACCCTGTAACAGCTTGTTGCATAATGGCACTCAGCAAGCATGTATTGAATGAGTGAGCAGTGAATGAATGTGTCCATCTATAGGAACCAATAAACTGCAGTATATGCATTTTAAGGGAGTTTATACAGGCTTCAGAATCATTCATAAGGAATTTTCAGTGACGAGAGAAATCTTCTGCAATTATGTGACATGAAAGAAACCAGGAGATGATATCCACAGGCACTCCATTCATGGGAAAAAGCTGCAAGGACCTTGTGTAATGGACTCAGGCATGTGCTCCACACTGAGCTGCACCCTCTGCCCAGTCTTTACAGTCATTAACTTTCATTATAGCACGCAGTCATGGTCTTTATGGACACGGAGATCGTAGAATGCCAAACTTTAGGACATGAATGTCTTCATTGTCCTGTTTTCAATATGGCCAAAGCCTCTATTGTATACCTCCAAAACATGAACTGGTTTACAGTGGTGATTAAAGCTAATATTTTACGGAGCAGTGGCTGCCTGAATGATTTTTCACACACAGGCACCTCCTTGTTGTGTATTTAGCCCTTCCTCATGACTTTCTGGATAACCTGAAGTCTGGCTGGCCACTTGGCCACTTCCTGTCCCTCCTGCAGGTCCAAGCAGACCCACTCCTGTCTCTGACACTCATCTGTGGTGTTTTGTTACCACCCAGAGGAGGGTGGGAAGCGGCCACTGGCATGAGGATTGCTACAAGTGGAACCAAAAGGTCTGGGAACCGAGATTAGAAGTCAGACTTTATATAGTGTGAACTCAGCGTCACAGAGGACCACCACCACATCCAGCCTTCTCTTCTCCCAGCAACAGCTTCAGCAGTGTGTTGATTTCCACGCTAGTCCAAGCAGCGCTATGAGTCAGACCCATCTCCAGACCCACCGTGAGTGAGGCAGGCGTAGTTCAGGCCCGGGGCAGTGCCAGGAAGGCAGCAAGCCACTTGTTTCTCTTGGCAGAAATCTTGGTCTCCTTGCAGCTCCTTCTCTCCTTTCCTCAGACTGCAAGACTTGGATTCTTTGGAGCACGGAGGACCCTCAGAATTGTCTTTACTCTGGCTGGGTTCTGTGGCAAGTACCATGTAGTTTAACCCTTCTTGGTTCCTGGTTACCATGAAAGCGATTGGCGTAACACCATCTGCATTCAGACTGCTCCTGTTGTCATTGTCATCTGTGAGAAGACACGGCAATTAGAGTAGTGTCTGTTTAGTTTCCTTTGTGCATAAGAACGTGTAGGCAGGGCTTGAGTGGTGGTGACATTAACATCACACACTTGCTCAGCACGTTCACGAAGACCAGTAAGTGCTGGGAAGGCAAAAACAAACAAGACTGCCTGTCCTCAGAGCTACTGCAATCTAGTGGGGACACAGACATGCCACTAGGGAAAGTGACATGCACTGTTAAGAAATCAACCAATAACAAATGCTGGCGAGGCTGTGGAGAAAGAGGAACCCTTCTCCACTGCTGGTGGGAATGCAGACTGGTGAAACCACTGTGGAAATCAGTTTGGAGAATCCTCAGAAAACTAGGCCTAGAGGTCCCATTCAACCCAGCTATCCCCCTGCTGGGTATTTTCCCAGAAGATCTAAAAACATCATATCACAGTGATATATGTGCACCCATGTTCATAGCAGCACAATTTGTAATTGCTAAATTGTGGAAGCAACCCAAATGTCCATCCACTGAGGATTGGATAAGAAAATTGTGGTACTTTTATATAATGGAATATTACTCAGCTGTAAAGAAAGATAAACTCGAGGCTTTTATAGGCAAATAGTCACAACTAGAGACCATACTCATAAGCGAAATAAATCAAACATACATGTGCAAGCACCGCATTGTTTCTCTAGTGTAAAGCCTGAAAGAGTTAATTTAATCTAGGAGATATGATAGACATTGAGAATTGATAGGAAAGCACTCATAGGTAAAGGATAACTGGGATGTGGGAAAAGAAAAGGGAAAGAAGGAGAAAGTTTGTATATATGTATATGCAGGATAGTTAACACGGGTGTTCTACTGTCCTGTATTTCCTTGCTGAAAGAAACTGTCAGTGAGGCATTGGTTGATTAGCTTTGTATGTCTATATGTGTTTTCATGAGAAACTACATTGAATATATCAATATGTAATACAATAAGCATTGTTAATTCCCTACCACTCTGTCTGTAACTCTGTAATGTCTGTACTGATCCTATGCTATTTTGTAAAATGTTGTCAGTCTGTTAGTATTTTCCTCCTTTAATTTCTAAAAGAAAAAAAAAAAGAAAGTGACATGCACTGAAAGAAATACGTGGAATACAGTGAGACCACAGCGGCAACCAACTCTGCTGTGGTAGGCAGACAGGGCATGGCCTTTGTGACAGACACTGGGTGGCCTTCGAGAGCAGCGGCTTTTCCGCCCTTTCCTCCTGCCACAACAGCCCAAGCACCCCTTTAGAGACATACTCCTTTCTGTTCACTACTTTCATTACTTATGGAGGAAGTATTCCTGGACAGGTATCACATGAACCATGAACATGAATTGGCAAGTGAATTAGAACTAGCAGGCCCCTGACCACAGAAGGGAATGGCTACAACATGAGTGAATTTTGATGTCAGGGTTGAGGGAGAAGGAAAATGATTACTACAGCCACTGTTGATGTTGTTAATGCTTAGAGAGCTCTTACTGCACACCAGGCACTGTTCTAAGGTACACACATGTATTAATTCATTCTTGTCCTATGAATCAGGCACTAGAAGGTCCCCACTTAACAGATGAGGAAAATGAGGCACAGAGGAGTTCATAACCTGACCAAGGCCTGGCAGCTGGAATGTGCCTGTGTCCTAAGCGTTATGAAGCTGTGCGAGGGAGGACGGACTGAGAGGCGCCCCCCACCACAGCTCTCCAGAAGCCAGGACACGTGTGCAGGGTGAGGGGCCTGCAGGAAAACCAGCAGTCAGGGCTAATTGGCCTTTGCTACCCTTGCGCTCATTTGTTTTGTTTCTGTCTACTTAAAGGCTGACCTTTAACATACAGAAGCGTGAGGAGTCTGGGGAAACCTAAGAGCAGAGCTTCAGAAACACCTCACAGAACTCTCAGGAGCCAAGGGAGAGCAGGCTGTGGAGAGGAGTGCAGAAATGCAAATGGAGGCCTTCCTTGCTCTTCACCCATGACTTCCAGTCTCTGGGTGCTCCTACCTGGCTGAAAATTCTGTGATCAGAAGTAGTACTGTCTTTTCACAAACTGTCATACTTTAAAAACCAGGAACATTTCAGTAGCTCGACAATAATCCTCCCTTTCTTCTCATCATCTGTCCAGCACAAGCACGTCCTAGCCCAGGCCCCTGACGGCTGAGTCTGCTGACCGCCTGCCTCCTGCACGTAGCCCCTTGCACACACAGGTTTGGATTATTTGGAATGAACTTTATTAAAATATGGGGAAAGGGAAGTAATTGAAGGGACTAAAGAATTCAATGGATCTATGTATTTATCAGGTTCCATACCTACATCACAAAGCTTATTTTATGAAATGAGTATATGAGCTATGCAGTGTGATCCAAATATACGGTGAATGTCTCACTTAAAATACTGTTTACAGTGAAAGACTCATTGCCATTAATCCCCCTCAAAATATTCTGCTTCACTCCAAACACGCTTATCCCATCATAGCTGGCAATGTGTCTTTTACTGAAGTAAGTTTTGTTCAAATGTAGACATTCACTGTATTTTTGCTTTTTACTATATCATGAGGCATGCACATCTTTACAGACACCATGTGTGCACACGCACACACACACACATACAACTGCAGAATTAGATGTCCTTGCTGTAGGCGCATAAGCTCTTTGCCATCAGCTCACTCCCCTCTTCCCTGCTCAGAAATCCTTCCAGTACATTGCAAATCACATGAACAGCAGGAAGTGTTGTAGAGCATCTTCCCACAGAAGCAGCTTCACCAGAAGCAGAGTCTGGTGAGTGCTGAAGCACAGACACCTGTGGAGGACCCACCTGCTGTGCTCATTGCCGGTAGGGATGCACAACCATGGAGAGACTCACAGAGTGACACCCATACGAACACCAAGAAATGTCAGCAGGACCTGCGAGGTCTAATTTTAAGCAGTCCATCAGCCCAGGTGATTGAGGAAATAAGACTATTCTTAAAGGGCTTAAACACATCGATAAAGAAAAGCTTAGAATTCAACACAAACTTCTGCCTACAGTAAAGGTATAGCACTCCTGCGACAGCAGCTTCACTGGCATACCTTTCACCTGCTAAGTAGCTTATTGGAAAACTCCTGCCAAAAGATAATTACAATTGTTTTTGTTTGTTGAATTGTTGAAAAAGAACCTTTCATATGAGACAAAATTTTGTGAGTTCTGCTACAGGTGTCAGAAAAAAATCCTTAGATAAATAGTTCATTGGTTTATAGTACTTAATGTAACATTCAGTAACTTGACACGGGCAAGCTTTCAACAATTCATACATCTTCTTGTTGCATGAACAGCGTATGAGAGACGGAAGTTAAAGGGGGAAGTTGTTTTGTTTTGTTTAAAATTATTTAATAGAAAGCCTACAGGTCAGGCTAAGGCAAGTGTCCAAACAAAGACAGCATGTGCTCAGCAACATCTTTACGAGGGAAATATTAAAATAAAGTCTTCCAAGTAAGACCCGGTATTTACAGACGAGACATGTGCAAGCTCCCTGGCTATGTTTAGAACAGCAGAGGGGCATTTAGATTTGTTTCCTGTAGGACTCTCTGGGACTGATGAGGCGGTGTTTACACAAATGCTTGGATGAAGTCACTGGATATTTTTACTAGATGCCCAGATATGTTACTAATCTTCCCTCTCGACGCCTCTCTACCCATTAGGTCAGTAGGACCATCGTGACAGGCATAGTGACAATGCTCCCTGTAATACTAAGGTCTTTTATTGTTCTTTTAAAAAGTCCTTCTGATGGTTTCCTGTCTTCCTATGTATCTCCCACAGTAACAGACACTGCAGACAGACACTGCTTTGCCAAATATGCTCACCAGTGTGCAAAGCAACAGACTACATTAAGCACACTCTTATGTAAAAAGTACACTTAGTCTCACCTTGCAGAACCGTCTCATGATTTCTACCCGCTACAGATACGCAAATTGTATTTCCTTGCTTTTGTTCCCTGCCCTGCCTCTCTTTGGTCACAATCTCAGGTGTCAGAATTGTTAGTGATAGCCGTATCTTTTCCCCTTCATCTTCAGGATTTACATGCATTGCAAATAACATAAGGATGATTTCTTTTTTACCAAAGTTATACTTCTGTCATGGCCCAGACTTGGTAGTTCCTGTCTAAATTATCATAGTTTGATTATATCCCCTGTTAAACTCTTCCTATATCATTATTCCAAACATTTATATCTGCTGCTCTATATTTATAAATTTTAATCCTTCTACCAACAGCCTGGCAACTGAATAGACTTGGTCTCACCGCAAAAAGATAGTTCAGTTCTTCTCATATACCGTCTGTAGAGATCTTCCATTGTAACCCCTGGACGGCACTGCCCATGGGTGTGGCTGCAGAGAGGGGTGGCAGTTCCCTCATTAAACCACAGCTCGTGAGGGCTCAAGAATAGAGCCCTCCCCTGGCTGCACCTCAGCAGTGTGATCACAGGCAAGCTGCTAACCCTCAGTTTGCTCATTGGTAAATTTGTAATAACTCCCACTTCATAGGGATAGAGGCAGTGACTGACACATAAAAAATGTGCTAACATAAAATTAGCTAGAACTGGGATTTAAAATCTTTACAAAAAGGGATTTTTTCTGTGCCCTTGGTGTAAGCATCATTCGCTACTATTCTCAGTCTCATAGGTGAACTAAATGATACAACGTGGTGAGATTTTACCACAGATATCAAAGGTCTGTGGAGACATGTGGTAGAGCCTAAGGCACAGCTCAGCTCTCAGGCCCTTGGTGATAGCTCTGTGGCTTTTATGAAAGGTGCTTAACACACTGGAAGGTGGGATCTCGTGAGCACAGAACGAGTGTCAACTCCATGCATCCCCCAGAAGGATGCCTCTCTGCCATGTGTCCACCCTCTCCTTGGACAGCCCCTGGCCCCGCGGCAATCCTCTGCTCTCTCTGGCTTCTCCTCTTCATGCCGTCATCTTCCTTTGTTAGTCCCTCATCCTCACACACACCAATGATACACATTTTGGAGGAAGACATGCAGGAAAAGGATATTCATTAAAAAGAATTAGGAATTACCACACTGGGGTAAGATGGGGTGGGCAGCACTGCCTACCACCTCAATTCTTCTCCTTACTATTTTAGATTAGAAGCTGAGGGGTCACAGATGCTCTTTTTTTTTTTTAAAAGTGCAGCACATATTAGAAACTATAATTTCCTTTTCAAGGAAGAACACAATAAACAGTTATGATGACCATGGCACAGTATGTTACTCTTCTTACTCTAAAACACCTCCTATGTGCAGTACATTTTAACACTGCTCAGTTCATACTGGGAGAAAGCTAGAGAATCTGAAGGATCAAATTTACCTTCAAAGCCTTCATTTACAATTTCACTGGCATTTGCTTCACCTCTGCACTGAGAAATGTTATTTAAGGGAAAGTTTCTGAATAGCTGCAGCTGGTCTTGGATCTTGTGGAAAGTAGGCCGCTGGTCCGGTTCTTGAGCCCAGCACTGAGCCATTAAATTCCACCTGGATGAAGATAGAAAAGAGAATGACACCTGGATATAATTACTGATAACTCAGGTGAGGTCATTTTAGAAGTGAAATTTGAGTTATTGTCAGTTTTGCAAAACTTGTATAAATGAACAGGACAAATACTTTGGTTACTTGAGTTCTCCTTCATAAGTAATACTTTTCTTTTGAAAAGCTGATATATCAACAGTTGTTAATCTAAGTAAATAGGTGGATGAACAGATGGTTGGAAATGTCTGTCCCACACATCATGGAGTTAGTAGCTATAAAACTTGTTGAAGAAACAGATTTCAAAGACTTTGCACACATACACTGATCCACAACAAAACCCAAGATTTGCTCCACACAGACACTTTGTGGCAGAACCAAAAGCTGGAGAGCAGAGTTGATTCCAGAACTTTCACTCCTTATCCTGTGAGGTTAATAACAGCTCAGTGCCCGACATTCACAGCTCATGGGCTGAACCTTACCTTTTCCTCCAGGGTTGTCCGAGGAACGTCTGTGCAGCACTGCTAACCAGTGCTCACCCCTCACTCAGCAGCACTCAGGGGCTGAGGCAGACAGTGCGACGCTTGTCCCCCTGGAGTGAACAGTGACAGGTATACTCACTCAACTCCCTTACACTGTCTGCAACTAGTTGGTTCTTTCTCAGAGTCCCTACCTCACAGAAGAGAAGTGACGTCGTTCTGTCACTTCGTTCTAAGCTCTCCCTACCTCTGCCGCTTATAACCTAGCCCAGGTTCATACCTTTAAGCAGTCCTGGACAATAACTCAGTCTCTCTTATTTACAGACCATTCCTTCTCCCCCTGCCCTCCTTTCCAAGATGGTGCCAGGACACCCACCAGACAGGAGGCTGATGCACAGTGGCACAGTTACAGGTCCTCTGAGCCACTGTGTCCCCTGGAGCTTGGTGATCTCAGAGGCTGGTCTAGAACCGATGTGTGGTGCCTCTGGTCCCCTGTAGGCTCCTGCTGTCATCAGTGCCCAGGAGTTCTTCACCTCTCCTTTGCCCTTCCCCACTGCACTGGTCCTCCCTGGTCTCTCTCCAGAGGGAGCTTCTCTGTGACTCTATTATGTCCTGTGCTTATCGGAGGCCGAGGCAAGCCATGCCTGTCTCTGTCACCCACAGGGTGTGGCAGAGTCTCTAGTTCTTAGCAAAATATTCACAGCTCATGGGAACACAAAGGAGGTCTGCAAGTGCAGGCTAGACCCTTTCTGTCTGGACATGTGCACTATCTCCTTGACAATGCCAAGTCTGTCCATGTCAAAGTGAGGTCCCCTGCTCAGTGATCCCCTTGTCATCCTCCTGAGTTGGAAGCTGGGGGCATTGCTCCATGCCCTTGGTGTTGCCCACCTACACTAACTGAAGACTTGAGGGGTGGTTCAGGATCCGGGCATCCAACACTGCACCCTTCTCCTTCTGTTTGCACAGTTCTCTTTCCTATGCCTTCTTGGAGCTTTTTCATTAGACTATCTGTACACAAAATTGTATATTATGCTTACTCAAACCCAGGTACACTACCAAGGAGCTAAAGGCCTCCAGACAGCTCCTTCTCCACACTTGTCTTCAAGTCTACTAACTTACTAAAATGGCCACGTATTGCTCTCTTTTTTACTCCCTGGAGCTATGAAACAAATTGGGGGCCAGAGGAAGGAACTGATAAATAAACATAAACTGAGGTATTTAAGAATATTAGTACTACTATACCAACAGAAAATATTTAATTCAAATTATACTAGATTAATTATTCTAAATGCTAAAGAGAATAACTGTGAGCTCAGAGACATGGAACATTTTGGTAAGTTGCTCACAGAGGTCCCAGGGCAGAGGTGACATTCAAGCCCAAGAGCTTCATAGGAAAGTAGGACGCCAGTCATGGGGATGGGGTGTGGACAGGAGGCCGGGAACGTCCTGGAAGAGGGAAAAGCACGTGTAAAGTCCTAAATCTGGAAAGGCCTTGGCACATCTTAGACTCTGAGAGGAAGCCAGAAGTTCAGTCCTTGAGGGAGAGAATGAGACGGGCTCAGAAGAGGAAGGCAAGTGCATGTGGGTCCCACGGGCCAGGAGAGGAGCAGGGCTTTCAGATACTGCCATGGGAGTTGCTGAAGGTCTTAAACAGGCATGCTCCTTACATTTTTAAAGGATTACTACAGCTGACAGATGGACAGTGGCTGTGAGGAGCCAGTTGCAAGCTATTAGGGAAGCCTAGGTAAGATGCAATAGTGAATTGGACTGAAGTAATAGATCAAGATTGTATACAAGCCCAGGTGAAATGACACAGAAGTCATTTATGCACTGAATTTAAAATACCTAACATCTATTTTAGGAATCACAATGCAAATGCCAATCCCCTATGTAGCATCAAATGCAACTTTCATTTATTTCATTCTTTGACCAGCATCTCAGGTCAGAGTTGGTACTGCACGTCAGGGTAAGACCAGGAAACTGAATTTTGGGCTGTACTGATCTGACGGCTTTTCATATGTGTTACAAGGACTTTACAGTCTCATCACAGAATGCCAAGCTTTGCTCTATTTTTAAAACATTCAAATCATAGCTGAGAAATAACCAAAGAACAACCTGGCCTACTACATATGTCCCTGTGACCTGTGCTGTTCAGGAACAAAGACAACATATGGGTTAATGAGGGCATTAGACCTTGAGATAAGATATTATAAGTGATACCACATCACAAAACTTAAACCAACAGTTAAATTCAAATATTGATGAAGAAGGGCTGGCCTAAGAGGTAAGAGGATGGAGTGAAGAATTATAATTCTTCACAGGAAGCATTTTTGGGGAATAAAGTTGACTTGGGGATATTGCTAAGATACAGACAAAAAATTTCCCAAGGCTTGACATATTTCAATCATGAAGTTTTACTTACTTATTTATAATCTGCTTAAGTCTACAAAAGATTCAATATATTTAATAAAATTGCTTAGAAAGAAAGAAAGAAGAAAGAAAGAAAGAAAGAAAGAAAGAAAGAAAGAAAGAAAGAAAGAAAGAAAGAAAGAAAGAAAAAGAAAGAAAGAAAAAGGAAGAGCAAGGAAGCAGGAGGGGAAAAGAAGCCATCCTCAGGGCCACACAGCACCTGCTCTCCGCCCACCCCACTTTCTACTGCTCACCCTGCTCTCACATCTCAGCCTGTTTTCTAATCTGTGTAATCTGCACATGACAACTTGTGCTTTCAGACAGCAATAAACGGGTGATGGAAGAATTAAAATGCCTTTAAGAATTTAATAATCCTTAAAAATACTCATACTTGAAGTACCTCATTTGGCTAGGTATTCAGCTCAAATTCCTCCACTCATCTGTGAATGCTTTGCTCCTCTTTGCCTCAATATTTTTTTCTTCCAAAACGCCAAGGGGCTCATTAGCTGTGTTCAGTATTGGTCTCTAACAAGCACACAGCCTGCCGATTTCACAAGTTCTCTTACAGTTCCATCTAATCCTTGAGAGCCACTTGGCATCACATCTCTTTTAGGAAGGAGAATAAGCTTGTGGACCTCAGACACCTGAGCAAGCTTCCGGTAACTGTAGTCACCCTCGCACGGTGTCTGTCACAGAACCCCAGGCTCTGCCCTTTTGACAGCGACCGCCCTCTGATCTTCTGCTTCTCAGGGCTTGCTGTGCAGATGGAAGGCTGCTGAGGTGCTCGTCGGTGGGCTTTACCTCCATACACCTGAGCGTAGGGGAGGGGGCGGGAATGCTCTGAACTCTCATTCCATGAATAGCTGAGAACAGGGTGCAGCATCCTGCCTCCTGACCCTGGGAGCATCCAGGTGCTGAGTATTTAAGCAGTGAATAGAGGTGCAGCCTGGCTCAGTGTGGACTTTCAGCCCCTAAGCTGGCCTGTGATCTCAGAACCGCCTCAGATGGAGCTCAGCTCTCTGTCCTCCAAGCAGAGGAGTTAATCTTCTCCGTGACAACTTAAGGCCTGGCCAGATGGAGTGGTGTGGCTGAGCTTGTTTTCCTTGCTTGGCAGCAATCTTGAGAGTCCTTCCTGGGCTCTGCAGCCTGCAGAGCTGGGAACACCGCTCACTGATAGCAAGGATGTTCAGGTGAATCTCAACCACCAAGTGGAAAATTTTGATGTCAAAAGAAACTACATTTTTATAAAAATGAGAGCAATATGTACTCAGCTGATGAATGAGTCAAGACAAAACTAGACAGAACATTATCTTTCTCTACTCCTAATCAGGAATGATTTCTTAGCACCTCTTCCTCCTCCTAGCTGCATTTTTGGATATCTTAGGATACAGCAAAATTCAACACTTTTACATTTTTCTGCTCCACAATACAGCAATTTATTATCTACCCTCATCTTCCACAAACAAATAATCAAACGCTATCAGTCAAAATGTATAATTCAGTAATCTACTCCTAAGGTTCCTTTCCAAAAACACCGCATGATTATGATGAGGCATATCACTCCCTCTGGGGGTGGAGGGATAAACCAGGTGAAATTGGAAAAGCATAAAGAACAATGTTCACAACTGAAATTCTGAGGGATTTTGCTGAGTTTTTGACAGATGTGTAAGGGAAGCAAACTAGTGATTAGGCTACTATCTTGTTAAAATTGATTTATATTTAGGTATGCTAGGTTTTTTTCCCCCTCAAACCCTAGGTGAAAAAATTCAAATTTTGTATAATTTCTTACTTCTTATTCACAGTTTTTCCCCTTCTTGTCCCAAAAGGCTCATGAATTATTTTTTAGACATTGTTACCAAATTTAGTCAGGTATATTTGTATTTGATTTCCCTGAAAACATCCCAGAGGCTATAAAAGCTAAATCAGAAGCAAGCAGTAATTTGTATCTTCTAGTTTGCAGATTCAGATAATACAGAAGCTTTCACGGGTAGAACATCCAAGCCAAGTGCTTGGCTCTTAATCATCTTTTGGCTCTAGTCTGAATAATCTTCTAAATAACACAGCACAGTCAAGGCAGTGCAACTGTGGGGTGCGTCTGCAGACCGCGAATTCCTCCTGCCCTTGCCCGCACCGCACAGTTTAGCACTTCATTACATGCTGGCTGCCCATCCCACGGCTCTGGGTGAATCTTTGCATTCAGAACACATCCCAGGACACTGCAGTGTTGAGGTAAAGACCTCTGTAACCCGGACTGTGCATTGGTGTGGCCTTGTGTGTTAACAGAGTTCATATTTGTTCTCTTAGAAATCTCTGAGGTACAACACCTCTTGGGAAAGACTTCAAAACTTGAGACTTCTGCTGAGGTGGCACAGGAGTCAGACTGGTACACAGCACAGTTATCTGGCAAGTTTTTCTTTTGTAATTAGACTGAAACCAGTCACCCTTCTGGAATCACTATTAAAATTCAGTAGTGGCCAAGATCACTTTGATAGATAGTTATTTTGTGTTGACTTTACAAACAGATCACAATCTGAATAATATCATTGCCATGGTATCCCATCAATCAGTATTAGCCATATCAATAAAAGCAATCTAACTTTTAAACAACATATTCCCATTTACCAGAATGTTTTAAAATACAAATTAAGATATTACCCAAATCAAATCTCCCCAGATAAAATTAACGTATGTGTGCACATAACACACACACAGAGCTTATATTTATTACAATTCATTTACCAAGATAAATAAATCCTACTCTTCAAAATGCTGCACCCTAATGAAATATCATGTACACATATAAATAAAAAAGCTATGATGCACTTAGCAGATTAAGTGCCACAATCTATTTATATTTTATGCATAATATACAAAGAGGTAAATTTAGGTTTATTTTAGCACATCACACCAGTGAAGCCTACATTCTTATGCACACATGCTTTTGTTTTCTAGGGTACACATGTTAACACAACAACTTACAGGTCATCAGGACAGTTCGTTGGTGGCTGCAGTCTCCCTCCTGCTTGCACATAGTTTAAAACATCAAGGTTAGAATGCGCTGGATATGGTTGATGGCCAAGAGTTAAAATCTCCCAAATCAGAATTCCAAAAGACCTAGGGTATGAAAAGGTTGTGTGTAATTATACTCACTATATCACTGTTCTTGGGCTGTGGGGTCTACTTTACAGCTGGCATTACTGGCCTTATAAAAGGCCAACAGGAGACATGAACTCAGGTTGATCTTAAAAAAAGTAGAAAAAGTATTGCACACAACCACTGCTCCAGAGTAATAGAAAGGCTTCGTAGGCGCTCACACACACACACAAAGACCTGGACACATACGCACACACATAGATGCACACGCATAGATGCACACACATGTACACACACACTTACGTGTGGACATGCACACTCACACACTAGTCCTCCACTGGCTGCCCCCTGCTGCCTTCGCTTTCAGAGCACAAATCTGCAGGGGCCTGAGACGTGAGCAAGGGAGCAGAACACCAGTGCCCCGCTTGAAGGGGACAGGACGATGGTGAACGTGGAGAAAAAATCCATGAATCAAATGCTGGCAGCACAGAGGACCAACTTCACCTCACCCACAATTTTCCATGACTGGCCCAATTTAAAAGTCATTGAACAAATCCTTACATTTTACCCAGCTCTGACCAAAAGTGGGAGATCAACTTGCAAAAATGAGAAGTCATATTCGAATAATAAAGATATAGCTAAACTTTGCAATCAGTAGTTTAAAGTGCACCTCTAAGTTAAAGACTGAACATCCAAGGGGCTGGGGATTTAGCTCAGCGGCACAGCGCCTGCCTGGCAAGCGGGAGGTCATGAGTTCGATTCCTGGTACCGGAAAAAAAAAAAAAAAAAGACTGAGCATCCAGAAATAAGGGGCATTCAGGCACACAGTTGAACATGAGCTCATAAGGACCAAGTTCTATTGGTCATTAGCCCACACACCTTTGAAGTATAATAAAATACTTGGGATGGATGTGTCCCTTTCATATTTAGATGTGTAGTAAAAGATGAAAACTGATGCAGGAGGGTTGTAAATGGCTTCTCAGCCATTCATAGGAATAGCGGTATCTTGACCATCAGCTGAGGCAAATCACTTAACCTCTCTGGTCTTTTATTTTCTCATATTAAAAATAAATTAAAAACAAGATTAGGTGTCCTTTTAAGATCCTTCTGGCCCTGAGGTTTGCTAGTTCCTGCCATTTCCGGGTCCTATATAGCTCACCAAACGTCAGACTGAGTCGTGAAGATTCCATCCATCAAACTTTCTGGAGCCATCCAGCGAACAGGTAGTAAGCCTTCCCCTCTCTTCCTGTAATAATCATTTTTGTAGATGTCCCTTGCGAGTCCAAAGTCCCCAATCTTCACTACCCGTGAAGGGCTAGTATAGTCTTTCACAGAGACAAGGCAATTCCGAGCTGCCAGATCCCTAAGGCAGAAGTTACATTTAATGATCATAAAATAATTTCAGAGATCAGATAGGAATGTCAGTAGGTCTATAAGGAAGACACACTTTTTACAAGAATTTGCTATTTTGAAGGAGTGAAAATGTCTACTTATCTTGTGTGCTTTTCCCAAACTCCAGATGATTATTGTGCCAATTGCAGTAATAATTTTGTATCCAGAATATGACTGTACCTGTGGATGAAATGCATCTGTTCCAAGTAGACACAGCCTTTTGAAATATCCACACATAGGTCTACAAGGTCAGCCAAGGTGAGTAAAGGGCCATGGAACTATAAGAAATGAAGGCAAAATGACAAGCACTTTTATAATTTGCATTGTACATATACACATATGCACACGCACACTCACATTTACATATGATCTTCTAAAGCAGTAGTGGCAAACCTATGACACGAATGCTGCAGCAGACATGCAGAGCCCTCTGTCGGCACACAAGCCACGTCCCACCAGCAGCCCCAGAAGCCGAGCACACATAGGGACCATGCATATGCTCAGGAAGGAGTAGTGGCACCAAGAAATGATGTCACGAGCAACTTGGGTACTGAGTTTCTAAAAGATTTGCCGTCACTGTTCTAAAGGATTTTTTAGTCAATGTTGAAAGAATTCAGACAAGAGGAAAATAATGTATGTGCTTTCTGTGCAAATATACATAAATGACAGACTATTCTATACTAAGTAGAAGTGATATAGACTCTTTACTGGAAAGATCTCAAAGTGTGGGGTCAGACAGACCAAAATTTGAGACCTAGTTCTGCTTATTAACTAGTTGTATGAACTTGCTTGAGTTACTTAAACAACTACACTTTCTCATATGTAAAATGGGCATAGTACCACTGGCCCTGCAAGGTTCAAAATAATATCCACGATATCAATGCACAGTAGCCACTGATAATGGCAATTACTCCATAAGTGCTAGCTACTGTAATTATGGACCCAGTGGCTTTCTACTGTTATTCAGGACAATGAAACTGTTCCCCTTAAGAGCCCCCCATAAATTGTTAACAATGTCTTAACTCAAGGTCGGATTGTGCCTCTTAACTAAAGATCAAGTACAGCTCTATATGAGCCTGGACTGGTTGTAATGATTTCTAGGTGAAAAAAGCAAGCTGAATTTCTATTAGCAGCATGAAGCAAAACGCTAAAGTTCTCTGCGGGAGGCCGTGGCCGCGCCTTATCCTTGCCCTTCCCCCTTCCTGAGTCACCCTGCTCAGCCCTCCATCGCCTGAGCCTGACGCATCCCACTGCCCAGGTCTCCAGCCCCTGTGCCTTCGTTACCTTGCGCTCTGCCTGCCCCTGTGGAGTCCTGTGGCCTCCAGCTGCACGGCCTCTCTGTCCTGGCTTATAGGCCATGACTTCTCTTCTCACCACCGGTGCCCCCGTCACTCTGGGTTGCTCCTCATTCCTTACCTGACCTGCACTTCTCTACCTCTTGTCCTTTTTCCTGTTGTCATTTGTTTTTCTGGAATGGTTTCCTTTATTCTTAATGTTCATCCACAACCTTCACTGAGCTTGAGTGACTCCCAAGCTCCAAATACCTAAATTCCTCACACAAGGCTCTCTTACTTGTGCTCCACTCGCCTTTTCTGACAAGCTCACATCTTCCTTCCGAGCTGGGGGAGATGCTGATATTCTGGGTCTCAACATTTCCGCGTGCAGCTGCACACGGGGCTGACAGCCAGGTCTGAATGATGCCCTCTCCACCCTGCCTGGCTCAGGGGCCCTGTACACCTCTGGCTCCGACTCACACCCTGACTCTGGCTGATTCTATGTGAATGGAACTTTGCTCTGACCTTGACGAAAACTGTGCTGCTCAGAAAGACTTTCTCATGGCCCTGAATACTGATGCTGAGCCCTGGCCCCTGCTGGCAAGATGTCCACACTGTTGACTGCTTGGCTCTCTAACCATTTCCTGCTCATCTTGTCCCCTGTGACAGACTGTTAGGACACTGGCTCTGTGTGGAGCCCCTTGACTCGAGATGTTGCCCTTGCCTTCCTCCTATCTTTTGCCAAGCCCTCCAGACGTATGAAAGCTTGAAAGTGTCTGCAGCCAAAGCCTTGAAGATTCAGTAGGGAGGTGGTGTTCAGCTACTGTTATATTTCCTGCTCCTCCACAACACCTTCCATGCTCTTCCTTGGAAATCAGCTCTCCTCCATCTATGCTTTAGCAGTATATTTGCTACCCCATTCTCATAGATCCCTCCACTTTCCACCTTACATGGATTATTTGTATGTGTCTTCCAACCTTACCATGTGGCAAGAGCCACCCTTCTCTGTCCTACAATAAACACCAAACACAAATTTGATGAATTGACTTATATCCTGAAGGCAGCACATTTACTACTGTATATTTTATTTGTATCATTTTGAGATGTCTTTTGTTTTTCTTTTTTCTATCTTCACACAATCAGAATAGCAAATCTAAGAAGAGTTTTAGGAAGCTTTTAGGTTTAGTCTCCCAGCTACATATGAAGAAACTGAGCTCCCAAAAAAATGAAGTGCTACACTAAGGTTTCTGGAGCTGACACATAAAATTAAGAGTTTTGTTTTAGCTAATATAAGCTTGAAATGCTACTAAAATCCACAGAGAGTCTGCCTATGTAGATGTGAGCCAATGGAACTGACCCCCAGGTCTAGGTTCTAGCAATGACTTTAAGACTGAAAATATAATTTAGGACAGGGCAGCAAATAAATGAAACACAATGTCGTTCTTTGCCACTCAGTGGAATCCTTCTTCTCCAGAAAAACAAAAACAAAAACAATAACTGTGATTCTAAATGTGAAGAACAATTTTCCCAGTAAATACTAAAAACAGACTCAAATATTAGCCCAGAGCCCTGATAGCCCTAATCTACATGCAAGAATTCAGAAGTTTTTTTTCCACTGAATGCTTCTAAGTTTCCACCACAGCTTATTGAATGTAAAGATAATTAATGGTAAACTACAGGGCATTTGCACTAGGGAACCAATGCTGGCCTCCACAGCCTACCTACCATTGTCATCCGGGCTTTACGCAAATAAGTGAGAAGGTCCCCTCCTTCCATCAGCTCCAGAATAAGGTACTGGGGCTCATTCAACAGACAGACACCAAGCTGCTTCAGAATGTTGGGGTGATCAAACTTGCTGAAAGGTGGAAAGACACACTGGGTGACCTCACAGCAACAGAAGTCCTCACCGAGGATCTTTGTGGAATAGAACAATTCCATGTTTGTAGTTTCCTTCTATAGCCCTGCTGACTTCAGGAAGGAGAGCTTCCCTTTCTGAGCACTAGTCCTAATCTCTCCTCAGAAGGAAACATGGCAGCCCCTAGTGGCCAATGCACACGACTGAAAAGGGCAGATTTTAGAAGTAACATTTATGTTGAATAGTTTATATTTTGGAAAGAAAGCAATTTTGACCAATATCTGTCTTCAGTGAGTATTTGAAACATTATATTTTTGGTCACCACAAATATGAAATATGTTCTTTCTCCCTTTTAGAGAAATAACTCAGAACTGCAGGTTCTGGTTATGCTGGTTTCATAAAACATCAAAATATATAAGCTCCAGCCCAGTGACCAGAGCCCAGGGCTGGGATCCCAGGAACGTCGGCCTTGGGTCTGCTCTTTAGTGATCACTTTTAATGTCCACAAACTGACTGAAACCTCAGGGACAAGGTTATTGGACAGCAGATGTGATCGCTGGTGCCATGGTGCTTCATTGAGCATTGTGCTAGGTCTACTTGACCCGTTATCACACATTTTAGAAGAACACAAGTACTTTTAAGCCTGAACAGCTTCTGAATTCATTTGTAAAACACTCTCCTTCCTGCAGGTAAAAGAAAGCTATCTTTCACCCGAGGACAGCAAGGACCAGATTCCAAAGACTGGCTTCATAGAATATTTGTTACTAGAAAACTATTTCCTTTCTAGTCTTTAAGCCGTGTTTGATTTGAGCAAGATCTGTTCTATCTGGTCATTCTTGATGTTAACAGTCAACACACAGATGTAAAAGCTTCCTGCCCAGAACAATGAAAGCATCTCAGAGCTGCTCTGGTACCTCATCAGATGTGCCTCTTTGAGGAATTCAATCTTCTCCTGGTCTGTGGAGCCCTTCTTCAAAGTCTGCAACATAAAAACAAGTCAGGAAGCTGACATGGTGATGCACATCTGTAATCTCAGCACCCTGGGTGGCTGAGGAAGGAGAATCCCAAGTTCAAGCCCAACCTGGACAACTTAGCAATTTAGCAAGACCTTGTCACAAATAAAAAATAAAAACAGTGCTGGGGACGTAGCTCAATGTGAAGGCCCTGGGTTTAATCCCCAGTACCCTACATACACATACACAAAATCAGGTATCAAGAGGTGTCAAAATAGCATATATTTCTGGGAGCTCAGAGTTAGTGGAGACCTTCTCCACCCCTAATATTCACTCTGAAAGATGGAAGTACATACAACATGTACATACAATCTATAAATCTCCTGTTATTGCCAGTATTTGTGTAGCAAAATATGCTTGATAAAAAACCTACTAATATTTATATAAGGTATCTCCAAAATATACAGATTTTAGAAAGAAACCAATTGGCATTTAACAGGTCAATATTTCATTCTTCAAATTTTTCTACCCAGTATCTATTTCCTTGGTACTCATGCTAACAACACCCTGGTTTATTTTGTGAAGGCCTGGTGCGCCAATGTTGGTAGTTGTTCTAAATGAATTATGAAAATTTGTTCTGAAATTTGCCAATATCCTTTGCAATACAAGTGGTCATCTGACTTGGTTCTAGCCAATGAGATGTAAGAGAAAACCTGCTGAAAAAGAGAGAAATTTGTGACTTGTGGGAAGATGTGAAACTTCATTCTTTGGCAGCCATCTTTGAACTTTGAGGCAGCAAGTACCAACAAAAGTCAAGGAAATTTCAGAGATGCTGGCTCGGACCTCACATACTGCTGCACCAAGGTGAGTAGCCGCCCTGTTCTGTGAGATAACACAAACATTTGCTTAAGCCAGTCGGAGGCTGGAGTAAATTCAAGGACTTTAAAAGATACTAGAAAGTGGAAAGAATGTTGCCAAATCTTCTCATTGTATAGCCTACCCTCACAGTAGTAAGTCCCTAAAAAGCGGTGATCAGGAGATTGCTCAATTACACAAACAATTTATTACCTCCTATCAAAAGAACATGTTACAAAAATACAAGAGCATAGCCAATGCTTCCTTAAACATAAAGAGACCATGACCACCAACCACATGGTACAGAGATGAGCAAGTCACAGCCTGTGGCCAGACTCAGTGTGCCACATATTTCCAGACGGCTCATAATCTCAAACTAAAGTCAGAAGAAGAATACTATTTAATGACACATGAAACACAAGCAACGTAAACTTGTTATGAAATTATAGAAGGTTCACATTTCGATGTCCATAAATAAGGTTTTATTGGTGCAAACTCATACTTGTTTGTTTATATATTGACAGTGGCTGCTTCGGAGCTGCAGTGGCAGAGCGGAGTAGTTGTGACAGTGATGATACAACCAGAAAGCCCAAACATTTACTGTCTTCTCTTTTGAGAAAACATTTGTTGGGCTTTGGTCTTGTCTCTTGAGGATGAGTTTTACAACTCTAGTTCTCTTATATTACATTTGATTGGTAATAACTCTTGGCTAGGTCTTAACTAATTAATAGCCTTAAAAGTAACATAAATCCTGGCAATTCCTCCAATGCTTATAGAACCAATGTAGAAGATGGGAAAATTATGACTTATCTATATCTATACTCTATCAATCAGTCTCCTTCAAAATTAAGTTTATTTTAAATTGGCATAATATTTGTACATATTTATAGTGTACAATGTGATATTTTGATTCATATATACATTGGGTAATCATCAAGTAAGAGATTAGCATATCCTCACTTTAAACATTTATTATTTCTTTATTAGTGAGTGCACTCCAAATCCTCTCTTCTAGCTATATTGAGTACGCTGCTGCTACTATAGTCACAGTACTGTCCCTCCTTCCTTCAACAAAGAGAGCTCAGCTTTTATTACAGATGCACCCAGGCACCCACATGAAGAAGGTGGTCAAGGAGTTTAGAGATAGTTACCTTCACTGCTACTTTGACTGCTCCACTTCCAACACCTAAGATGTCTACAGCTGTCCCTTCATACACCTCTCCGAAGGCTCCACTGCCCAACAGGACACGCAGAGTCAGTTTCTCCCGTGGGAAGGCAGGAAGATTTTCAATCTCCTCTTGGGTAGGAAGAGTACTGTAAAATAACAATGTGTTTGCTCTCCCAAAATACATACAGCTTACAAGTTTGTGTTGCTTTTGAGAGAGAAAGGGCAATCACAGGCCCTGGCAGCCTTCTCCATTCCATGTGATATGGTGACATGGAAAGTTGTGTTCCCAGTGTACTTCTCTACCCCACCTCCTTCCACGCCAAGCACATCACTTCACTTCCTGGCCCCTTCACGTCAACAGAAATGTGTGTGTGCATGCATGTGTGCACACTTGTGTGTGTGTCTTGTCTTGAGATTTCCATCATAGCTAGTTCTATAGAAATTATGAGTTATTAACTTCTTCAGATTGCATATTTGCATAAATAGCTATTGAAAATTAGCCACAGATGTATCTGGGCTTATGAGCTTTTGCTTTGTTTCACACACCTGACCTCCCATGTAAAACAGAATTTACTCTGACCACAAAAATTATCTCTATCACAATCAGGTTAATTTTTAGAAAGCTAGTCTTCTCACTTGCAATATTATGAGGCAAAGAAACTCTACATTAAACAAGCTTTAAATTTTTTAATAATATAGAATATCAGATATGATGAGTATTTTCCCAAAGAAAAGTCACCTCTGAATAGCTGATTTACATCACTTCTATTTCTGCTTCAAATCCTTTGTTTGCATGTCTTGGACTATAAATTTCTAGAAGCAAGGCCTATGATCATGTACTTCTTATTTGCGTACATTATCATATGGTGTCTAGTGCAAAAATACACTTATTTTCCTTGATTATGACAATAGAAATTTAAAACTCATTAATCTTAAAGAAACTTTATAGGCAATCACCATACAATTCCTGAAATGGAATAAAATTGGAATAATAGGACCTTTGGAATTTCCTCTCTTTGCAAACATTACCTCCCCTGAACCAGTCATATTACCATCTACTTTCTTCAATGTTATATTTTTCAGTTATTTTTGAACTATATCAGTGATAAAGCCCTGAAACCAATTAATCTTCCTGTTTCTCTCATAGGATAACCACAAACTTTGCCATTTTTCTTAGGTCACGTTTGAGAATGGAGGGACAAGTTGTTAATAATTATGCCAGATTAAGGGGCTACATGGCACTCTCCTTGCTGCCCAGTCTTTGCCCACATGCTCCGTAAAGGGGGACAGGCCACATACTGGATTGCATAGCAAGCATTAGCCAGCCCCACTCCAGCCACTGGACCTCGCAGCTCAGCCAGCTCTTTGTCTTCACGCATTAGAACTGCCAACCCTTCCTTGGAGTTTTTCTGATTCTTCAATCCCTTATGCCAGACTATAAAAGAAAAAGACAAGTTAGACAACAAAGTATTGTTTTCTGTTTAGAAATATTAATTCATTTTAGATGCTTATGTATAAGAACACTACTGGTAGAATAACAACTTGATTGAAAAAAATATGCCTATAATGGAAAAAGTAATTAAAGCCAGGTAGATTGCTACATAATGTCATACAATTTATGCACATCATTTTTCATCTTACTTCTTACAGCAAAGTTTGCTATATTTTTACTACTAATTGCTAATGAATTGAAGTATGTAAGTATTAGAACTTATTTCTTTTAATTACATAAATTAGAGTCATAATTAAAACAACTTGTATAGTCATTTTTAGTGAAATAAATTCACTGCTGAATCCAAACATTTCCTGACATAATGCTTTCAATGTAAAAGTATATTTAAAATGCTTTCTGTATAATATCTACTGCTTTTCTACTCCAACACATATACTCAAATATGTAGAAAAATATTAGAAGGAAGCCCATCAAAGATTAGCAGTGGTCCTCTCAGTTGTGGAATCATGTATGATTTGCATGTCTCTTTTACCTCATGAGCATGTGTTATTTTATAATGATGAAAGTGTTATTTCTAAAAGATTAAAATACAATTATGTCAATAAGATCACTTATTTATACCAGAATATTGGCTCAGAAGCCAAAAACAGCAGAAATATTTGGGGAGACTATTTCACAGCAGTCCAGGGCAGTTCCAGCTGGGGCATCATAAGGGAAAGGCGGGAAGCACTTCACCAATGTCATGTCTACCCAGAGATGCTCGCACTCAATGCCCCTCCTCACTATACAGGCCCAGGGCAATCCCCCATCCTGGTGATGCATTCTGACAGCTCTGCAGACACTGTAGGTCTCTCATCTGTGAAGCTGAAAGCCCACCTGTGCCGCAGCAAGCCCTCCTACCTCAATGTCTTGTACGTGTCACGTGATTCATTACATTTTTGCTAGTTACCTTCTCACACAGACATGTTTTACCTCCCCGACTCATGGAGCAAATTCCTGAAGCTCCTGAAGCCCCACTATAGCTTTTTATTGCCCTCTGCCCCCGACCATAAAGCTAATATTACAAATTAGGGATGGCTGCTCTCCCACACAAAGGCTGTAGATGTTTATTTTTAAACCCTTGTTTCAGTTTTATAAGTATGACCAATAAGAGTTCTCACAACAAAATGAATCTTAAAAGAATTGCTACTTCTTATTGTTTTAATAACTTGGTCTTTTCTCATGCATTTGCACACTCCTACATGTAAAACCACATGCACTGATAATAAAAGCAAAATTTGAACTAGCTTAGCTACCCTCAACAATCCATGAGTACCAAACAGAATAAAGACCTTGAGGTTCTGAGAAAGGCAGACTTCCATAGGATGTCTGGAGAGGCCACAATGGGTGTCTGAATTAGCTCGTTCACCTACCAGAACCATGGGTTTAGACAATGATGATGTACAATAGGAGGCAAAGGTCAGATGAAGGGCTCCTTCCCCGAAGGAGAGCACACGGCAGTCACGCCTGTACACCAACTGCCAAATATACCACGCTCCTGTGCGTAACTCTGGAGGGGCCGGCTGAGTGGCACAAACGCCAGCTGCGCAAGGCTTAGACAAGCTGGAACCACAGGTTACAGTCCTGGCAGGGCCCGCCGAAATGCTCAGCGTTCCCTGCTAACTGAAGGAGTTTCATTTATTGCCTGGGTCAAATCTGTGAAATGAAACCTCAATTCCAGTTCAGCGTGCTCTCCCATACCTCATCACCCCCATCACTTTGCAGAAAGAACATTTAGAACAGAGCACCAAGAACTGGCTTTATCCCAGGAGAATTCAACCACTAGGTTTGTAACTTTCTCTTCAACTTCCCTCTGTAACTTCTCACTTATATGCAGAGGAAGCCACAGCTTTCTCAATATGTGCTTAGGTTTATTTTCTAGTATCGTGCATTTCTTATAATTTTTCAGCATGTTGGAGACTCAATATCAACAACAGATAGGGGGATCTTAATATCTTACAACCAAACCAAGACATTTTGGGAACTGAAAGTAAGTGCTATTAAAGTTCAGGAAACACCAGGAATAAACTAGGATACACAGGCACTATCTTCATCCTGTATGACCAGTATCTGACAATCTCTTTTGGGGTTGTCACTCTATTTTCTCATCATTAAACTCGATCTTTAAAGGAAGGGGTATTTTTTGAGCTAGCCTATTAGCATAACATGAGTAACTTTCTACCTATGCAAATGAATTGCTCTGAATTTCTGGTCATTTGTAAAGCAGCAGGGATTTGAAATAAGCAGACAGATGTCTGAAAGCAAAAGTGAATGCTACCAGCCAGAAATGGATCTTGTGCGAAGAGGCCCTGCTCATTCCAAAGCAGGCTGTCTGCCTGGAGACCAAAGCTGTCCCAACCAAAGATGGTCACTGGCCTCCCATTAATCCTACACTTATTTTGTACCCAGCGTTATTTTTCTTTTATTTATTTCAACCTATAAGCCACAAAACACTTGCTATAGCCAATCAGAAGCAAATACTTCTTTAAAGAAAGCTATATCTGGTGCCCTTGTGAAAGGTTTATCTGAAGAATGCCATGAAAGGTATACACAGCTATATTTTTAATGAGATTGTTACTTCTTGATATGGTTAGGATCCAGACCATCCCAATGGTCCCACATTAAAGGATCAGTCCCCAGCTTGCTGCTAATGGGGTGCAGTGGGAACACTGAGAGGTGCCCCTGAAAAGGGTGTGGTGAGGTTCAGTCCCATCCTCTTCCTTTGCTTTGCTATGAGGGGGATGAGGGCTCTGTCCCATCACACACCTCTACTATGCTATACCACCCCGCCAGTGGACCATGACAGACCCTCCAAGACTGGGACCAAAGTAACCTTCATAGCAAGAGGACAGGCCAACATAGCCCTTGATAAAGAAATTCACAGAAGTTAGTGATTATAAAAGAAGAGGCCAGGGGACACTGAACTTAATGAACTTATTTCATCAAGTCTTGTTTCATGTAGGAGATTAGAGATACTAAGATATAAATCAAGCAGTATGATCTGGTAAATAGATTATTATCTATTTTAAAATCTATGATACTTACCAAAGGCCAATGGGATTGTAATGACCAGAAATACTCCAACTATACTGGTAAGTATAAAACTTGTTTCTGGTATCCACAAATCATCTAATGACACAAATGGGAAAAAGATATGAATTCACAGGATAAAACTAAAGTGTCCCAGTCCTACACAAGCAGACACAGAATGGCTAGCCACAGCTAGCTCCTACTATATTTTTGTAAGCCAGTTGTGAAATTTTAAAATCATCCATGGTGAAATGATATGTATCATAGGAAATCAAAATCAAGGTTTTTCCCATTTTTTTTCTAAAGGACCATTTTGCCTATGCCTATGGGAATACATAATCTTCTATTTTAAAGTGACAAGGGAAATCTGTATTATTATTTAATGAATTTGGGACAAAAGTGTCTCATTCTTCATACACTAAATAGTTGAGATTATTATTTTCCTATGATGTCTTTATACACATTTATTCCATGGATCCTAACCTGAGAAATAAACATGAAAACACAGAACTTTCTTAGGTTGGTTCAGTCATAAAGAGGAGAAAAACATGAAGAACGGAGTCTGGCAAACTACAGGCTACCGGTCAAATCTGGCTGTAGCCTGAGTTAGTGCCTCTGATGGGTTAAAATTTTTTTTGTTTCTAAAGTATTATTTTTTTAAAAAAGAGGCAGGACTGATGGCGCAGTCCTGTAATCTCAGCTACTCAAGAAACTAAAGCAGGAAGATCATAAGTTAAAGGCCAAAGCTGGGGATCTTAGCAAGACTCTGTCTCAAAAATAAACCAAAAAGGCCTGGGGATGTCATTCAGTTGTAAGACACTTGCCTGGCACACACAAGGCCCTGAGCGCATTCTCTAGAACTGCGAAAACAAAGAAAGAAACATAAAAGACCAGAAGAATGTGCTGCAGAGACCAAGTGCAGCTTGCAAAGTCTAAAATGTTCACTATTTGGCTATTTTCAAGCTCAGGTGTACACAACTAATTATAGTACAGATAAGAGCGACAAAGTTCTAGGTCAGTGACCGCGAACCTTCTAGAGACGAGCACACAAACTGCAACCCCAAACCCACTTAGTTATCACAAAGTGCCAGTGCTGCACTTAAACCTGAATACTGAGGTTTTAGTTTAGAAAAAACAACTCATACCCGACAGCTTTTGTCTTTAAAAAAAAATGAGTGCTATAGGTTTGCCATTTTTGTTCTATATGAAATGTGTGTATAAGATGCAACAAGTAATTTTTCCTAATGAGTATTTCACATCAAAATGGGTTCGTTTAAATTAGGTCTGCAAGGACGAGAAGAATTTGAGGTGGCAGAAAATGAAAGAAAGGAAATCTTAAATAAAGAATACATGGTAGGTGGTAGGGGGCCCACACACTAGGCTAGAGGAAACGCCAGGCCAAAGGCCTAGTGACAGCACAGGGATACGTGTGGGGAAAGGTGAGCTATGCTTGGAGGACAGTCATGGAAGGCTTTGCAGGCCACACAGAGGTCTGCAGTCAATTCTAAAGGCAGAAAAAAAAGAATAAATACTTTTGAGTCTTTCAAAGATGGTTGTGTCTCAGCTAGATTAACAGTCAACAACGTGCTTCAGCCAAGGACACAGGCAAGAAATGACACCACTAATGAGGAAACCCAATGTGGACATAGGAAGATGGAACTCATCAAAGGGACACTGGAATGGTAAAATCAATAGGACAGAGAAAAATCAGATGTGGTACTGAGATCCTCTCGCTTATCTGATTAGAAAGATAATCTATCATAACCCAAAACAGGTGCACAGCAGACAGAAACTGGAGAAGAGACAAAGGTGACTCTGGCCTCCTGCGTGCAAGGTGAGAGACCAGGAACTTGATCAAAGGCTGGATGGATAAAGACCAGACTGCGAGCAGCCTGGGAAGCCCATTTAGGAGCATGGACTCGATGTGACAGGAGAATGTCACTGAGAAGAAAAATGCAAGGAGCTGTAAGGAGCAGCAGAGTGTCACTGAGGAGAAAAATGACAACGATAACAACATAAGGAGGATCTCGTCAGATGAACTGGGTAATTTAACAGTTGGGATTATGAGCTACACAGTCACTGTACCTGACTCTAACATCAAGGATGCACCTCCCTTTATCAATGAACCTTTATACAAGAAGCCAGTGTGTGGACAGACATGGCAACATACCTCCAGTTAGGATAATATTCTCACTGACTCCACTGTAGTCACCAAGTCCAAGGCGATTCACAGCTACTACTCTGAACTGGAACGTTCCTTTCAGGGTTTTGGGCTTCCACATGCAAATGCTACTGCAAGACCCATTGAATGCCATCTTCCACCTTAAATTCTGGTTCTGTGAGCCACCCGAAATGATCTTTCTGAAAAAGAAGCAGTAATAGTCAATGCAGAAAATACAGCTGAGAATATAAGTGTGATTTCTAGTCTGCTAAGATTTCACGTTTAAGGCATCTCCAGAGCTGCCTGCTCACCCTTCACCCTTGATCTCATTCCTCCCTCATGACTTGGCTGCAGAACACAGAGGACGACTTCATAGACCGCGCTGCGTTCTGAGCCAACCAGCTCAGCCCATCAAAAATGTCATGAAGAATCAACAACCAAGAGAAAGTTTACAATCATTTTCCTACTATTTAAAATGTGTACAGTCTCTTCAGAATTCCAAACACATAAGAAAATCACTGCATAATTCTTAATGAGAAGTTGATACTTTTCTTGATTTTGTTTCTTTTATTATTTGTAATTTTTACCATATCTGGATAAAATAAGGAATATGCAATAGATCAGCTATCAGAGTCATTATATCTGAGATTTAAGCTTCATTGCTTCCTTCTGCATTGGTTTAAATGCTGCCTCAAATCCAATCCACATAGCTCTTCACATGAAAGGTGGAGAGAGTGCAAAAGCTGGGCTCAAAGGAAGAAAGTAGAATGCTTAAACCCTATCACTGACTGAAGGCAAGCTCAAGGCCGAGTCTGTCTTCTCTGGCAATGAAGAACACTCCAGTACAGCACCTTTCAGATGCTACTGACCAAATAAGACATAGAAAAATGTGGACTTGGTACCTCACCACTGTGAGCTTGGGGGAGGGCAGTACCATCTGGTTGTGTCCCTGCCAATGAGTGGCTGTCCTGAAAAAGCAATAGGATACAGGGGACTGAGTTCAGGAGGGCAGGGAGCAAGAGCATCAAGGCTGCAGACCTGGTCACACGTGTACCCAGGGGTGTGCTGCCCCCAGGGTCATCCTGAGCAACATGTTATAGCAGAGTATTTATGCATGCTGCAAAGCTTCAGGGAAAGCATTGGCAATCTTATGATTTAAACAACTCTAACCCAAAAGAAAGGGGCCTCTGAGCAGTCTCCAAGTGACCCTTCATGGCTATTGACCAAAGAAGATGCTGAAAAATGTGGACCTTCTTTGAGCACCTTCTATTTATAACACACTGTGCTGGTGCTTTATATATGTTGTTTTGTTTCACTGAGTTTTCACAGCAGCTCAGAGGAGACCCATCATTCTCATTTTATAGGTAAAAAACAAAACTTATGTAAAAAGACAACGAGGGAGGATTCAAATGTGGCCTGTGTGCTGAATCAAACAGTGTGCCCCAAATCCATATCCACTAGAACCCGTGAGTGAGACTCTATAAACATGGTCTTGCCAGATGTAACCAAGTCAAGATGAAATCATCCTGGATTTGGGTGGCTCCTACTTCAGGGACTGATGCCCTTACGAAGAGAGGGGAATTTGGACACAGACTCACACAAGAAGAAGGCCAGCTGATGGTGGGGGAAGAGGTTAAAGTGATCCACCAAGTAAGGAGCACTTGGGGTTTTTGCCGATCATGAGAAGTCAGGAAGAAGGAAAGAGCCTGCCCTAGAGTCCTCAGAGGGAGCACAGTCCTGCTGATACCATGATCTCACACTTCTAATTTCCAGAGCTGTAAAAGCAAATTTCTGTTATTTAAGTCACCCAACTGATGGTACTTGGTTGTGAGCATCTTCATTCACCTATTCAACTCTGAAGTTCACACCCCTTGCACTCCTGTTGCACCATCAGCAAGTGCCTACAGTCCAACTAGAGAGTCCTGACCACAGAGCCAAGTTAGAGTATTTACATTACGACCATTATTTTGTCACTTTATAGTCTGTATTTCCGCAGCGGAGACCTGTGCAACCATGCCCTGAAGGTGCTTATCTTAGTTACTTTTCTCTCTTTGCTGAGACAAAATACTCAACACCTAAAGTTAAATGAGGAAAAGTTTACTTAGCTCACAGTTTGTAGAGGTTTCAGTCCATAATTGCTGGCTCCAGTGCAGGGTGGCACATGGCAGAGGGGCAACAGCTCATGGCACCAGAAAACAGCAAAAGCAACAAGGGAGGGGACAAGGGACATGCTTCTTTCCATCTCTTACAGTGTGTGCTGGGACCCTAGGCAGGTACCAGCATTGGACCACGAATCAATCACAAACTCTAGATTCAGCCACCTCTGAAAAGCCTGCCCACCATGACTGCATAAGGCTTTGGGGGGACATCAAGACCTGAACCACAACAGTGCTACTGAGAACACACTAAAAGGGTCCTAGTGGGAACTACAGCGTGGCCTGGTTGTTGAGAGCAGTTATAGTCACAGGCCACCGAGACAGTTCTGCAGACCAGAATGTATTCCATTGCGTGTGGAAAACAGCAACACATTTCAGAAAGGTTTCAATTAGAAATATGGCCGAGGGAATTCTAAAGCATGAGCAGGAAAAATTGTTAAGGTTACAGGAATGCCAGAGCAAGACGAAGCAAAAATAGATCTAGAGCTCAGGTTGCCTGGACTATAATTATGGAAGTGACTTTTGTCCTTGGAGCTTCTTAAAAGATGGTTTCATAGTCCCGTGAGGGGAGTGTCTTTGGGATCTGGAACTCGTCCCTCAAGCTGGCAGGAAATCAGCCCTTGTGGCCAACAGTGGCTCACTGTGCTCCCCATGCACCCCACGCAGTTGTGCCTAAGCTACTGGTCTTTATTGAGAGCACACTTTCACCCTGGGAGCATACTGCACACTGCAATCTTCCCAAAAGACACAGAAGCCTATGGGACCCGTATGCTTCACACCATTTCAGTCCCTCCCCTAAATTAAAGTTTAAAAAAATATGAGGCTTGTTGCCAGTTTTCACTGGGTGCATTCAGCCTTTCTAAAACAAATGACCAGAAATTCACCCGTATCATCACCTGACATCACACATCAGCTCAGCTTCTTAAGTAAATCTTGGTTCCCTGAGCCTGGGGTTGAATAATTTCTCTACAGGTTTAATGAGCTGTTATCTATTTCTGAGAATGGTGTGCCGTGCCTTCAGAGTGCCAAGGCTGACCTCTGGGTGTTGAGCAGAGACTGTAATGCAGAGTCCACGAGCCAAAGGCCCTCTGTGTTTATGTACGAACACATTCTCATACATGTTCTAACTTTTGATCACTTTATGATTAACTGCTTCACTCACCGTAGTTTACAAAGAACTTTTGCAAACTAACGTACCTGGTCTCAAGGATATAGTACATAAGGCCACTTCCATTATCTTCTGCTTTTTCCCACTGTATTGAATTTTTGCTCCCTTCTAATAGTTTGGGAATGCCTGGTTTACTTGGGACTCCAGCTTTGGGGAAAAATAAAATACTGATTGATATATGAGAAGTATGAAATATTCTGCATTGACACTTTTCTATAGAATATATTGAAGAAAGAAAAATATGGTTTGAAAACTCAGAAATATTCTGATGGATATTCTCAAATGAGCATTGCAAGTGTTTAATAATGATGGATTAGATGGATTGGTGACAAGATTAACAATATGTCTCAGCTCAACACAAAATAACTGCTAAAAGCAAATAAAGAAAACTGTCATACATTTTGGGAAAACTTCCCTCTAACCTTATGTAATCAATATGGTATAACTTTCAGAATACTAATTAAAAGAGCTGCCATATTTTTCATTTTTTTGCATCTGGAATACAGAAGTCCTTTAATAATTATTTGTTGAGCACTCAGTTGCCTTTTTAAATATAGCTCTCACTGCAAAGTATTATAGCTAGACAGGAAGTCTGAATACTGAAAGAAAAAAATTTCCCTTTTCAGAATTACACAAGATCAGGCTAGGATTATCTCATTACATCCTGTAAAGACCTCTGACTGATTTTTTTCACTTAAGCTCTAAAAATACTGTACTATTTTCAAAGAAAAACTTCAACTTTTAGGACTGATAAAAAAAGAGACAAGAAGGTCTGAGATGCTGTGGACTGCCTGAGCGCTGTGCATGCCGATGCCCACCTTTGGTCTGGAAACTTTCGGGGGGTGAGAGGCTCCTTTCTCCCGTCACATAAACCACCACAACTCGGACCCTGTAGAAGGTGTAAGGCTGGAGATCTGCGATGCTGCAGGCATAAGCAGGGCCCTGGCTGCAGGAAGCTTTGACATGGAAAAACTCGTTGTATTTCCACTGAGGGAAAAAAAAAGTCAGATCCTTTTTCACTCAGCGCTCATGAGGGCACATCATTTCATTAGAGACTTTCCATCATGTTCCTACCAAGCTATGGATGCTCTCTATTGCACCTTCATGAAGTGCATCACCACTGTTATAAGGAGAAAGGAGCAAAAAATGAAACAGAGGGGATAAAAAAGAAATTGAACTGCTGATGTGAGTGGCACTGCCTGTACTAAATTCATCAGTGTATCAATCACAGAGACATACAGCTTGATGAAAGAGGGGCATCTGAAGTGTGTGTGAGAGAGGGAGAGAGAGACAGAGACAGAGACAGAGACAGGGACAGAGACAGAGCTTAATTCCTCTGTACAAACTTCTAGCCTTTGTTCGTCCTGCCTCAGCAATGATCCAGAGTAGAAAGCACCGCAAGTGACTGGACCAGCATTTCTCACCACCATCCAGAACCCCCCCGAGCTCCAGCACTTGGCTCATGGCAGCAGCGAGCACACCTCTCCATCCTTCTGGAGAGATGCTGGAGTTTCCCAGAAACCACAAGCCACAAAGGAGCAGGGCTCCAGCTGTCAGAAGCCAGCCCTTGCAGGGGGAAAGGCCACCAAGGGGGAGTCGCTCGTCATCCAGGATACATGGGGAGTGGGGGCTGCTGGGCTCTGACATCTCAGACCGAAATCGTGGAAATGTTTGGTTCTGGTTGAGATTTGTCCAGACATCTAAGAAAACCAGTTCTTATGGACTTTCATTAAAAGTGCACCAAAGCAAAACTGTGTTTCCTGAATCTTAAACTGAATCTGTTCTGTACACTTTTGTGATTTCTTTGAAAGTAAATCTACATAGTTCAAAATCTAGATTAAAAACTTAGCCTTGAATTCTAATTTCTTCAATTTTCCAGACAAGGAAAGTACGATAGAAAATAAAGATGCAATGTTTATCACATTCTTCCTCTTTCCTTTCTAAAAAGATTACTATTTACAAGACACCTACTCTCCTCATTTCTCCGCCTCAGAATCTCAAGAGAGTGCTGGGTCATTCCCAGCTGTCCTGGCTCTGTGTGGCAGGTCTGTGTCACTCACAGGAGACAGCGCTTCCTGGCTGGAGGTCACTCATTGACCTGGGAGTGCTCCTCATAACACTTGTACTTGCGATGGTTGCACATGCAGGGAGGACAACAGCTTACATTTTCAGCTTTGTGACTTTCTAAATGACCTGTGAAGGCTGCACAGCCCTCAAATGATTGAAGGGACTATGGTTTTTTGCAGTCCTAGGGATCAGACTCAGGGACTCTACCACTGAGCTACATCCTTAGCGCTGTCCCCTTTCTTTTTTGAGACAGGGTTTCATTAGGTTGCCCAAGTAGGACTTGAACTTGTGATCTTCCTGCATCAGCCTCCCCAAGTGCTGGGATTACAGGCATGCGCCACCAGGCCAACTTAAAGGACATTTCTAAACAAGGTTTTGGGGTTTTTGTTTGTTTGTTTGTTCATTTCTTTCACTTTCTCATAGAAAACATCAAATTATTATAGACTCCAAACCAGAAAAACCATACTAAATAAAATCCTATGCAATTTGTAAACTATAATTTACACTCTTTTAGACAGAGCTGTTTAAGAGCACGTTAATCTCTCTGGAATTTTTTCCATCCAAAGTTAGTTTATACAACTTACTGCTTCTATGTGCCAAACTTGAGTCAATGAATTTTGCCAAATATATTGTTGATTTATACAAGACAACAGATATATGAAAATGCTCCCAATCTACTCTGTATCATAAGAGATTTGCATAAAAATTTTACCTTTTGGAGTTCAAACCAAAATCTGGTGAGGTTGCCATTGGATGGAGCCTTCCAATCTAATTGCAAACTAGTGTTATCTGGAGCCAAGGCATATGGTTTCTCTGGTGTGTCAAACATTTTGACAGTGACGGGGTGACTCTCAGCACACCACATCTCCTCAGAGTGGCAGGCCAGGACCTTGTGGAAAAGAACAGCTGCTTAACCTTTTCACAAACGTGAGCTTGGGAATGGCAATAAAAAGTGCCCGCTCCACTCTGTACCTTTAGCACATACAGCTGTCCGCCAGACAGGGTCCCAAGCAGGAGAGTGAGCCTTGCGTTTGGGAACTGGCTTTGTCTTAGAGGAGCCTTGGGGATTAGGGGCAGATTCGAGATTGCCAGCTGGTAGCGAACCAATTCTCCAGGGCCATTTGGCTGGTGAGATTCTCTCCAGGACACAAGGAGGCTGGTGTCTGACAGCACTGTTGTGTTAATGAATCCAACAGCCCCTGGAACTGAAATAAATGGCAATGACAGGTGAGAGGTGTTGCAACTGAACTCCAGGGTGGAAAGAGGGAGGGCATCCTGGTTCAGGAATGATCCATCCATCGTGAGCAGGAGGAATAGCGGATGTGAAGGCAGTCAGTCTCTTGGGCGGTGAGATAGCTGGGAGCCTGACAGGCTCTTGTCTACTTTTGCTTAATGACCACATTGTTCTCTGATTCCAGATTGAGGGTGCAGCTAATGACAAATTACTCGGTAGATGAGCTTTGTGAATATCATAAGATCTGAAAGAAATCATCACCTCCTCCGAAAACATCCTTTATTATGCCAGAACTATTTTCTTTAAAACAGCCATGTCCCTTGCTTTAACTCTCAGCGGGCTCAGAGCAGTACTGACAGAGGAGAGCCTTGGCTTTGTCTCGCATAGAGACCTGTGGTGCATGGACAAAGTGCGACACTGTGTGGCGGGGCTGAGAAATGTTTCCCGCTCAACCCCGCTGCTGATATTTTTGCCTCCTGTAGTCGCTTTCCACGTTGATATAGTAATTATTCCTCATCCTCCATGGTTAGAGTAAGGGTCAAGTTCAAAACATTTTTCCACAAACTCATTTTCCTTATTAAACCTTGAAAGCTCACATAATACTTATTACCTGGCACTCAGATTTGAGGAAACCAATTCAGACACACTCCACAGACACACAAAGTCCTCCTTCAAACCCCACCAAGCCCGTCACTCACCGCCACTTTTCGTCTTTCCCAAGATTGCTTGTCCCAGAGGTAAATGCTCCCGAGAGTGTGAATAATAATTCTTTATAGCCATTTTTATTATGTATGTTGAAAACGGGTGTAAACCTTCAATGAGAGCTATCCTCTCCTGAGATTCCTGTAATTGATTTTTTAAAAGTTAATAGCTTATTTTTATATCTTATACAAGTGTATAGAAATTATTTAACCAAAGAGAAAAAACTTACAGACTCAAAAAGTCTATTTTTCAATTCTAGGTTGTCAATAATAATGTCAGTGTCTTAATCTACCCAGACCTGAGCTGTTGAATGTATCCATGAATAAATGCTAATTTTGCAAAATATCATTTCACACAGGAAGCTAAATTCCCTGGAGAGGGCATTATGTTATTGGCATTGGAAATTCAACAAGATGGTGTTATAAGGTTGTGACACAGTGAATACAAGATTAAGCAATATTATCTAATTATTCTTAAAAGTAATGTTTAAGAGAGCAAAAAGGATGATTTTTAGACCAGTGGCTCTCAACTTTGAAGTGGAATCACTTATGAAGTCTGACAAAGAATCATGTGTACTTTATGACAAAGTATGTAGTGTGTAATGCTCAACAGATGGTGGCCAGTTTCATGTTTTGTATTGGTTAAATAAAGCCAAGCACAAAGCAGTCTTGGCTGTGTGATTCCCTCACTAGCACATCTGAAGCACTAATGCCAGTGTTTGAATGGTGCCAATCCTTTATTCACTCAAGAAGCATCTGATGAATGCCAGCGCAGTGCCAACCATTCTGTAACCACTGGGGATATGATCACAATTTTTACAAAGATGTAGTCCCTTTACATCTGTGTATGAAAAGCAGACAAAATATAATTTGCAACAGTTATATTAGATAAATGCTATGCAAAAAAAAATAACTGGCAAAGTCCTTTCTGCCCAATTCATTTTTTACTCCTCAATCTTCAATCTGCAGGATAAGCCATGGAAAGAGGTCTCTAAAACTCTCTAGGGATAGATAACTCCAAGGGGCAAGACCTAGGTATTTCAGAACACTCAGGATCTGTTACCATGGTGATCCTCAGCTGGCCAGGGTTCGCATACATCCTCACAGCTTAGCCTATTCCCAGACAAGAAGCCTGAAACACAGTGCATTTGATGACTCAGCAGCTGTGAGACCCTGCATAGTAACACATTTCAGAACATATGGGAAAGACAAACACAGAAACCACTAGCTTCAGTCTCACCAGTATTTTATATTTCAGGTAAGAGCTGTTTGTCCTGCCGTGGAGTTCTGCATAATAAACCAGGTATGTTGCAGTTGGGCTGGCGAGGCCCTTCCAAGTGCGGTTTGTCCTGGCCAGAGGCAAGGCGATTGTGAGGCTGGTGTTAGTGGCATTAAGTATAGCTGGTTCTGCAATATCTGAAGCTAGAAACAGAAATGCTTTATCTAAAATAAGAAGAAAATGAAGATCAATATTCGTATGAGAGGAACAACAGATTTATTTAACATCAGGAGTAATATTAAAGGTTAGAAAACAATTTGTAGAACACATAACTTTTGCCTGAAAGAATAGACATGCAAATGGTTTTGAAACAATGCTCTTTGAGGAATGCGCCACAACAGTGGCTGCATCTTGACAATGTGTATAGCAGATGCTGCGAGACGCCACCCAGCATCCACCTCTCTTCCTCAAGCTCATGCGTGCCTGGTATTGATCCAACCGGCATGCATGGAGGGAAGCAGCATGTGCAACAGTCATGAGACATAGTGCAGCCCATCAGGGGTGAGGAGATGTCTATTCCAGACCTTCCAGAGCAGCAGCTGTCTTGCTCTACTGAGGGCAAATAGGCCTCTCCACAGCCCTGCCCTCTGCTCACTCCCTGCCTCGGATGCTGATGCAAGGTCTAGAGGGGCAGCAGTCATTCTGTAGGAAGTGACTGAGAGAAGTGCTTAGAAGCCTGGGGAGGAACAGAAAAGGAGGTTCTTGGTGGTGGAGTGCAGCTGCCTGGTCATAGCACACAGCCAACATGCTGCACCCTGCACCCAAGGGTGCACCCTCCTAGAGGCGCAGGAGGCATGGCGCACCTGTCACCCTGCAGGCTGGGCAGAACCTCTCAAATCAGACTTCAACCCCTGGGAATTGACTCCAGCCGTCCATCTATTCACTCTGATCATATCCCATGTAAAACAACCTCAGAGGATTCCACCATCGTGCAGAGAGAACACCAAGTGCACATAACTGAAATGTAATTATCTGTGGACGCTGACAGTCTCACACCAGGGAAGCATGCTGTGACCATCAGCGCACTCTACGCAGGCTCGTTGCAAATGCTCGACCCCATCTCTGCCTCCGGAAAGTCACCCTGCATTCTAATCACATCTCACTGCCTGCAAACCGCGCGCGCTGCACTGGCAGTCCTCACTCAGAGGGACCCCGCCCAGGCTCGGTTCACGAAACCTCTCTCCTGGCCACCTCATGCACGTCACTGCAGGCCCTCTCCGTTCCCACCACGCCCTGTGTCCTCCCCACAGCACTAGCCACACTGGTCTGGGCTCGGTTTTATTTCCGGAGCTTTATTTCTTGACTACTAGAGTGTGAAATTTCTTGGGCTAAGACTTCAGTAATCTTTATATGATAGTATTCACCTGTGCTGACTTCTGGTCTAAAGTCAGAATAGAGCCCTCATGGTAGCAACTGCAGCAGTAATCCAATGCAGAGATGACAGGTGCTTTCTCATTATTTTATTTTTATTCAACAGATATGGTAGGATACATTGAAGTATTGGAAATGTCATTCAGGGAAAGAGTTTTTCCATACTTTTTTTTTCTTAATCCTGTACATTTTAAAGATGTGAAGTGGCTTGAGAAAAAAAAGGAACATGGTAATAGGTAATTGCTTAAAATTTCCAGCAGATGGAGGTAAAGTACTCTCGATAATGTACCTTGAAAGTTGTAAAAAAAAGTTGATACCTTTTTCAGAGAAAATAATGACAGCAGTATATTAATCATATTTTTCATGAGTTTCAGTAATAAAAACTCATGCTACCTTTAAGATTTTTAAGTGTGTGTATGAATGCGTATTTGTGCAGTATGTTATACACCTTAAACAGATATTACATGTACTTTAAAAAATATAAAGATGTTATTTATAGTGCAACTTTAGACTTCCAGTAAAATTGAGGGGAAGGTACAGAGATTCCCCGTATATATGTTCCCATACATGCATAGTGTCCGCTAACATCAGTACCCCCTAGCACAGTAGATTCATTAGAGTCAGTGACCCAACATCCACATATCTGGATCACCCCAAAGCCATAGTTTACATTATCCTGCTTAACACTCTCTGAATTTTATCTAGGATTTTCCTGATATTAATTTGGGGAAATTCTTAGTCACTACTGTTTTATGTTTCTTCTGTTCCTTTCTCTTTCCTCTCCCTGTGGAATTCATATTCCATGTGTTAGATCTGTGTAGCTGCCCCAAAGTACTTGGATACTGTGTTCTATTCGTTTCTTTGTTCATCTTTTCTTTTTCTTTTCCTATTTTAGATGTTTCTACTGAGATATAGCCTCAAGCTTGGAGGTTCTTTCCTCAACCATGCTGTTTACTGAGCAGCTTTTCAAAGCACTTTTCATTTCTGCTACCGTGTTTTATCTTTGGTATTTCCTTTCGTTGTTTTGTTTGTGCAATTTCCATCTCTTTGTTTATGTTGATCATCTGTTCTTATATGTCGATGACTTTATTAAACCATTAGCATATTCACTGTAGCTGTTTTAAATTCCAAGTCTGATGATGCCAGGATCCTTGCCATCAGAGTCGGATTCTTGTGCTTGCTCTGCATCTTCGGTCTGCATTTTGTGGCTTTCAGAATGCCTGGTAATTTTCTCTTGATAACCAGGCATAATTACTAGATAAAAGAAATTGCTGTAAACATACTTTTATTATACAGTAGCAAGGTGAAGAGGAGGGGAGTAACCTGTAGTTCTCAGCTAGGTTTCCAACTTTTGGTGAGTCTGTGCCTCTGGATTAAGAACTGAAATTAGATCTGATAAATCCAGAATGTGGGGCTGTGGTTGGTTTCTCACGAGGGCAGACCGTATTAGGAACAGAACGGTCTAGGATGTTTGAGATTGTTCCTTCCTTCTCCAACTGGTGGAAACACAAGGTTTTTAAGATACTCACGTGAGAATCAGATACTCAGTGTGAGAATTAGGCTCCTGGTGATAAACTCAGAACAGTGTGGGAGCCCTTTCTGACTGGGACCTTCTAGAGTTTTAATTCTCAGAGCGGCCCATGCTGAGTCTCTAGCAATTCACCAGTTACAATTCAGGTTTCCTACCCGCAACACTGATTCCTCAAAGCCATTTGCTTGTGGAACTTTGTTCCAGTAAACTGTAAATCTATAGTCACTCATCTTTTTTCTGAATTTGGGGGAAGTGTTTTGCCTTGTAACCTCACTTTTCCATGGATCTAGGAAGAACTGAATTTTCTATTTGCTCAGATTTTGTTGAGTACAGTGGTAAATTTCAAATTTCTTATATGCTGGACCAGAAACTAAAAGTCACATAGACTTAAAGTCTGTTCAGTTTCTCAAAGTGGAAATAAATTATTTATAAAAACATGAGCTAAGTCTATTTATAAATTCTTAACTGACCCAGCTTTACATATTTTATAACTGAATTCACTAAAGCAAAAAAAAAGTTTGGTTTGTTATTGCTGTCCCTATCTCAGAGCAAGTTATGCTTAATTTAGAATGACATTTTAAGCTTCTGAGCGAAAGCTGATAAACGAGTCAAAAACTGCTGTAGCTTTGAATGCCATCAATAAAGAAATGTGATACTGATTTTGTTTTTGTTTGTTTGGTTGGTTTATAGATTTGCCAAAAATTTTTGTTATGATCTTCAAATATAGCCGATACATAGTCCTGATATAATGTGATTCATACATTTCTATAAATCATTGCTTTATACAACATCATACTATAAAATTCATAAAGGTTAGGGAGTACTTAGGGTTAGGGATACAACACTAAACTCTATCAATGGCACTAAGACAGGAACTTAGCAAAAATGGCAGCACAGACTTACCCATGCTAAATGGCACAAAATAATGGTAAAATAATATTCATATTCATATATGACTTCAGAGCATCACACTACCTAACATATGATACATTATACCACAATGAGTACAGCACTTTACCTTGATAAGGACCTGAGGTATCATGAAATGCCTTTTGATACCATTGGGAGGCCTAAAATATCACTAAAGGAGAAAAAGACAGAAGAGAAATTATGAGGCTGAAGAAAGAGGTCAGGCAGAGAGAATGCCAGCACAGGAGCCCTTGTCCTGAGCTGTGCATGCAGCCACGCCAGGCACAACCCAGACGTAACCCGTGGCCCCAGACAAACAGCGATCACAGTGAGCACTCAACAGTGATGGGGTGCAGGGCACGAAGGAGAGCTTCACAACGGGGTAGATGGCTGGCTTTGGAGAGGGAGACAAGCCGGTGAGTGCGACCCTCTTACCTGGGAAAGGCTGCACAGCAGAACTGTACGCCAGGATGCACCGACTCCTCAGGGTCTTCACCTGGGAGACAGCGGCCCCGTCTCTCTTCTTCGCTTGATAAATCTGTGTGCTGTCTTTTGCTGTGATGATCCAGTATATAAACTCTTTATCCACAGTTAAGCTAACAAGTGCTTTTCCTGCTGATTAAAAACATAATTTTGCATGCCTATATCTGGTAATCTGAGCAACTCTTTTGAAGGTAACAATATGCAATATAATAACCCCTGTTAATTTCCTATCATATTGTTTTGAAATTCTGTATTGCTTTGTTTTTTCTCTTTAAAATAAAAAAGAAGGGCTGGGGATATAGCTCAGCAGCACAAGCACCTGCCTGGCAAGTACAAGGTCCTGAGTTTAATTCCCAGTACCAAAAAATAAAATAAAATAAAGAAGAAATAAAAACATAAAGAACATGGAGTAAGGAATAAATTATACATCTCAAGTTTTTTACTCACACCAGTATATGAAACTTTTCAATTGCTGGATTTTGAAACTTCCTACTGTTTCAATATGAAATAATATTTTTATGTGACACCTCATTTTGGTTTAATGACAGGTTTTCTCATTTTATTTCCACATCAAGCCAATAAGAGAAATACTATTATTATCAGTCTCGTGAACTAGGACTGGAAGGAGTAAATAATCTACTAGAAGCTACAAAGTTAGCTAAGGGCAGAGCCAGGATTTAAAACCCAGACAGTACAAACCCAAGGCAGATAATGCCCACCCATAGCACTGGGCAGCCGGGAAGGGCTCAGCGCCTTGCTTGATATTTTTATTGTTGGTTTGAAATGAATGAATAAACACATTTATCACATAGATAATATGATTATCACATAGATATGATTATCATGTAGATAATATGATTCTCACTGTCACAAGCAGGTCAGTGATAGCCTTGAAATTGAAACACATCACAATAGAATCAAGAAATGGATTGAAATTTAGTAAAAACAAACATAAAATCCTAAATTCAGGTTTAAATTAACTCTATGAATTAATATGTAAAATACATTTGGCTTAATAATATTTCATGTGAAGTAGGACTATGAATGCTTCAGTTGACAGCAGCCCAAAGATCTGATGCTACTTTTAGTTACAGGGAAAAGCTCTAGGAAGCCCTGCACCGGCCAGAACGTATGGAGAGCATAACATTGACATTTAGAGGAGATTACTCAGCTAGAGTGGACAAGGGACTAATGTAAAGAAAAATCTAAAAGACACATTCCCTGAGAGTTAGTTATAGATAACTTGAGTTTTTCCTCCAAATACAGTGCTTAGAAGTGGCTACAGCAACTGTCTCTATATCATTGAATGGCTGTTGTGTGGAAAATGATTACCATCTTCTTTATTAACTTCAAGTTCAGAAATAAGAGTGATGAATGAGAGGAATGGAGAGAAAACTTCCTGTAAGTATTTGAAAATTACCTGATATTGAGAATTATCAAAACAATTATACAGACCTCTTTATAAAGTAGTGACTGCCTTTTCATAAACAAGTGAGGGGATTTCTTCTAATATCATGAGAGCTAAAAGATCTCTGAAGTCATTTTGATTTTCTAATTTTAGGATTATGGGTTTTAATTATGGATTTGTCAAAGACTGACCAGTTCCATATCTATATGATAAGGGCTCACTAGATAATTCTTGTATATCAAATGTTTTTTAAAATATTCTGACACTTGTTAAAACTGTAAGAAAGACTTTTGGTGGAGACTAGTGCAATGTGGTAACAGGAAAGAGAAATGTAGTACAACAGGGCATTTGGGGAGCGATAGACAATGAGCCCGGTGGAGTTAGAGGGCGGAAAATTACTGAGAGACTCCAAGGATGGGGGATTCTTGTTAAACTAGCCTGACAAGATTCTTGCGAAACACAGGCCAAGAATCCCCAAGGGTAGGGATGAGGAATTTGATGTGAGATCAGGATGGAGAAATGTTTTACAGCTGTTGTCCAATACAGTACCCATTAAGCTTTTGTGGCTTTTGAGCATTTGACTGTGACAAGTATGACTGATGGAGTAAATGTTTGATTTTATTTAATTTTAATTATTTAAATTTAAACCATAACAAGTGACTGACTAGTGTTTACCATATTGGACAGTGAGACATAGACAACTGGAAGTGTACAAGAGGTATTCAGAGTATATTTTTTCTGTTGGAATCACTCTTAGTAGGAGACTCTCAAATCATTTAAGACTTGCACAAATTTCTTCCACAGGCATACAAATTTCAAGAGATAGACTTTCCAAGTATTGACCAATTCATGCTGAAAGTGGAGTCAATAGGATCATCAAAGTGGAAATAAACTAATGTACTGGGAAGATCACAAATGTGTAGTTAGCTTCAGTTCCAACTGCTCAACTAACTGAAGCCTTTTAAACAAGTTTTTACACTTCTCAGTGTCAGTTTTCCTGTCTGTAAAATGAAGATACAAATACCAACCTTACTGAGGTATATTGAAGATTACATGAGATAATGCACTGAATAGCATGCTCAGAGTATAAAGTTAAATGTATTAAATTGCAGCTCTGTTGTTAATTACAAAGTTTTATTTTATTTTATTTTATTTTATTTTATTTTATTTTATTTTATTTGGGGGGGAGGTTTTTTTCCGGTACCGGGGAAAAAACTCATGACCTTACACTTGCCAGGCAGGCGCTGTTCTGCTGAGCTAAATCCCCAGCCCCAGATTACAAAGTTTTAAAGACACAGGTTAAGAAAATTTTGTGAATGTCCACATACAATTCACCTGGAAACAATTTGATTTGAATTCTCCTGGAGCACGGGGCGTGGTCCAGAGCAACCCCAGGAGTATATTCTTTTAAGTATATGTGGAAAGCAAGCCCCTGGTAATGGGACAAGAGAGGCTGCTTGTTACCAACTAAGATTGATGTGCCCCACAGATGTCTTACCATGCACAGCAGGCACCACGATAACTCTCCAGCACTGGCATCCATCCAGATCCATGGCCCAGATCTCTTGCCTTTTGGCAAAATATATCCATGGCTTCTCTAGGTCACAAGTATCAATAGTCATTGTTCCACTTAAGTCAAATTCAGTTACATTACAAGAACATTGGACCCTTCCATTTTGTTGGTTTGTGGCTGTGGGTTGCAGGACGTGATGCAAGGTATGATTGATAATACTGTAGTAGAACATCTGACAGCCCAAATCGGAAACTTCTGTCCAATATAAGCGACTATAGAAGGAAAAAAAAGTTCCTCTAGCTTAATAAGTAAAATAGATTGTTTCAAATATTAATTTCTAATGAAGATCAGTCACTGTAATTAGGGTACAAATACACAGGAAAGAGCATGTCCAAATATCCAGTAAGGTTTTTCAGAAATAGAGGAAGTCACAAGAAATCTAACTCATAGTATTTTCCAACAATTTGTTAGTAAGTGTTTACACAAATAAAAATCTTCTTAGCCTGAGAAATTGCTATTCAGTTACTGAGTGGAGGCCTTAAAATCCATCTCATAGGGACATTGTTAATTAAACCAAGGTGGCTGATCCCAGAATAGCTTTTGCTTTTTTTTTTTCCCCCAGTACCAGGAATAAAACTCACAACCTTGTGCTTGCCAGGCAGGCGTTGTTCTGCTGAGCTAAATTCCCAGCCCCTTTTGTTGTTGTTTTTTTTTTTTTTTTTTTTTTTTTTTTTTTTTTTGGTTAAAACTATCCCCTTCCCCCCCCCACTTACTGGTAATCAAACTCACGACCTCATGCTTGCTAGGCAGGTGCTGTACTGCTGAGCTAAATCCCCCCAGAATAGCTTTTGCTGAGCAAAACCTGTTGCCCATTCTCTGCCACTGTCTCAGTCCCTGTCTTGTCCTTGCCAACTGATGGTATTATTAAATTCATTAATATAAAAATGTGTTATTGGCTTCCTCCTGGTGATTGGCCTAACTTTAGGGTAGTCAAATCATCAGTGTGGATCACAATTTCATATTTATAGTTGTGGACTTGTTTACAACCAGAATCACTTATTATAAACTCATATGGTGAAAATTCATATGGCCAAAAAGGCTAAGCTTCTTATTTTGTCACTCTTGGCTTCTAAAGTTAAACCAAAAAATTACATTAAATATGCCTATGTTTATTTCATCATGATAGGAAAAGATACGTTTACATACCTTAAAAAAGGATACACAGAAAATGAAACTATTGTTGAATTCCTGTTACAAATCTTTAGTTCCCTGAGGCGTTTCATCTTGTGTTCAAGATCAACATCAAATATTTGTGTTCCATTTTGCGATTCTTTCAGCACAAAGTAGAGATGCCTTGAAATCCAGTTGACTGTAATGAGTGTGACGCCAGAAATGCGTGCATCTTGGAAAAGCTTAGCATTAGATGGAGAACATGGCCAGGAAAATAGGGTTAACTTTTGTAATTTGAAGGTGTCTGTGATTATTCACTTTTGAATAAAAAGTACACTTTTTATTGCGCTTCTCTTTTGTAATCCAAAGCCCCAATAATCCTGGGTTGTGTACTACTGTGTCATGAGCCTTCTACTCACATTGTGTATGTTCCTAGACAATTTCAACTCCTATGCCTTATGGGTAATTCATGGATCAGTGCCAAGGACCCACATCTTCATACAAGATCCCTCACAGAGTCACTGATTCAAAAGCAAACCTCCTGCTGAACTTCTCCATACGATGACCCGCCATCCTACCCCAGCACCTCCTTGGCTCTCACATGCCATATTTTATGGCAATCCACTCACCTGACCAAGGTGTCCCCTTGGCATCTTCCTCTCAACACTGTCTACAGAGCTGCTCTCACATGAAGCATCTCCCTCATTTTGTCCCCTTCTTCTCACCTCTCTGCCTGTCATCTGCCTCCTGCCTTAACGATTCCTCCTGAATTTCTTTAGTGGTCTCCTGATTGTCTCAGATGTAGCCCTCAGTCATCATCACACTGCTGACAGTGAGGCCTTTCCACAGAGCAATTTGACCATGTGAGGACCCACTAGATGTCTTCAGTGGCTTGCTGTTGGCTTCCAGGTGAACACCTGGCTCCCTGCTGCTTTTTATGCCTCCTTCGCCTGCACTTCCTACCAGACTCCCTGTAGTTACAGCCCCTCGACAGCTCTGGCTCTAGGTTCCCCTGCCTTTGCCTTGCTCCTGCCTCTGCCTGTCCCCACCTTCACCTGCTCATTTTCTTTGAAACCAAGATGTTTTTCATTCTGCCACCACCACCACTCACCTGGGCTGGTGCTTGTTCATTCCCTGAGATCCCCACACCCTGCTCTAGTGTAGCAGCTATCCTGATCTGCCCTCCATATTAGCTGAAACAAAATGAGTGCTCACCCTATGCCAGGCATTGGTTTTAATGGACTGTCTCACTTAACCCCCACAGGAACCCAGGCTAAGGGACTACTTAGTCACAGAAGTTAAACAACTTACTGGTGGTCACAGATCTAGTAAGTGGTAGGCCTGGAATAAAGTACAGATTTCAGGTTCCAAAGCTCCTTCCTGCTTTCCCAGGGTTATACAGACTCCCTTTATAAGAGTGAGGTCAAGAATGTTTCACTTTTTGCTATAGTTTGGGTCTGCAGTATCCTCCAAAGGCCCATATGTTAGGGTTTGGCTCCAACCAAGGTGTTACTGGAAAGTGGTGAGTCATTGAGAGGTAGGACTGCTAAGCGGCTTTCAGGTCATTAGCTGCGTGCCCTCACAGGGGGGTGGGAACCCTGGTCACTTCTTTCTTGATTTCTGTTCTTGCCCATGAAGAGATGGTTCTGACTACCATGTACTTCTAGTCATAACTGTTGCCTCACTACAGACCCCAAAGCAACAGGCCAAACAGCTGCAGACTGGAACCTCCAGAGCCGTGAGCCAAAGTAAATCTTTGTCTTTACAAGTTGATAGGATGTGTACTTGCTACAACAGAAAGCTCACATGCTTCCAAGTACCTTGGAGCCAGAACGGTTGTGTAAGTTCAGAAGAAAGAGAGAGTCTCCTTGAGCAAAATACCCCATGTCATCATCAGCTGTGTAGCCCAGGGCGCTAATGTCTTCTTGTGCCAAAAATGTCCACACAACTTGATTTTGGTCCACATCTAAAAGCACTATCTCATTGCCAAGAAAAGACATGAGGTAAGGACATGGGCTGATTTCTGCAAATGAAAACCAGATAATAAGCATAAGTAAACTAGCTTCAGGTTAGCAAAGTCTCTTGAGTCAGCATCAAGTGGTTTTGAAATCCATGGGCATCTTGGGGTCCAACTCTATGAGCTTCAGTGAAGCCCTTTGGCCTTCTCTTCCTGGGTTGGTTTAACATATTTTGGTGATGAGGAAAACTGACTTTGAATTTGACCTTAACTTCAGCTCAGAGATGAAATTGGAATCCCTAAAGATACCATTGAAAAGATGCTTATAGATTTTTATTTGCACAGTTTTTGGATAACAAATACCTGATGTTTTAGACTTCACTATGTCAGAAAATGGCCCTGGGCCTTTGGATGTGTAGACTCGAACCTAAAGCAAAGAGAAAGAAACAATAGGAGAAAAAAGGTATTCATTAGTATTCTCATTCATTAGTATTCTGATATATGTTATTAACAGTTTCAAATACTTGCTTACCAAGTATAGCAATAACTAAGGGGGAAATACTGTCCCATACACTTGATGTTGGAGCTTTTGGTCTAGAAAAGTGCTGACTTTTTAGTCTATTGATTAACAAAAAACAATCTCTGAAATCATCAGGGGATTTAATGTGGAAATAGGTGGTGATGAGTAAGTTGGTTGATTTGATGGTGATAACTGTTACACAATGTACACACATATCAAATTGTTGCTATCTATATCTCAATTACATAAAATCTGAACTTGTCAAGTAAATACTTTAAAATCAATAAATTAAGATTACATAGAACATTTGAAAGAAATAAAACTCAACAAATTATGGTAAACTTCCACTTATCTTGAATTTAACAACTAAAAGCTTCAAATAACTAAATTTATTATATCTTAAAGGATGTTTATAAAAAGAAAATACATTCAAAATTATCATGCACTTTACATTCAAAAATGATTATGCACTCATACTGTTTTCTCATGCATTACCTCTTTTGATCCTTACAACTGCTAACTATGGTAGGAGTAGAAACTGGGCCAGAGTTATAACTAAAATAAGGGACTTGGGGCTGGGGATTTAGCTCAGCGGCAAAAGCGCCTGCCTGGCAAGCGCAAGGTCGTGAGTTTGGTTCCCGGTACCGGAGAAAAACAAAAACAAAAACAAACAAAAATAAGGGACTTGTTTATAAGCACACATCTAGAAACACATCTCTTGAGATGTGTGTACTTCTCTTTCACTGTACATGTCACATCCTAACAGGGAAATATTTTCCCAAAAAATTAGATATCTTTTATTATGTAATAAATCATTTCCATTCCCCAGTCTTGCATATTTATATAAAAATCACAAAGAAAATTGACATACATAGTTATGGCCTCAAAATATAGAGCCTCAAGTGTTTGCTCAACAGAACATTGGGTACTTTTTGTTATACTTTAGTATTAAGTGCATTTTACAATATCCTGTATGTTAATATTTGTGTATGGTTTACAGTGGTGCCTATGTATACCAAACAACGTTCAGTTTCGCACAGGACCATGTTAAATGAAATTATACACATTCATGCATATCATGTTGCACAGGTCTGTGGTTACTCAAATCTGGAACTTATACATATAGGCAGACACACTTAGGAAAAGTCACTATTTTTAACAAATATGAGTATGTATTATCTTTAACTTTTATGAACAACTTTTTTGACTGGAATATGTAGACCTAATAGATTATCAAAACAATTATTAAATTAGAATTTTACAAAAAGAAAAACGAAAACACATCCATAGGAAACTCAAATCTCCAAAACATTACTTTCCCAAAAATAAATGGAAAATAGCTGTAAATATTTAAAACACTGTCTGCAGCATAGTAATTGATGAGAATATGAACATTATCAAGCCATAAATTATAAGTGGTATGACATTTTATATGAAATTTAAAATATCAAAATGGAGTGTCAATAGATTTCTTTCTTGACTGCTATTCTTTCTGTCTGTCCTATCAATAAATAGGTGAGATATCAATCATGCAGACTCTGGTTTTTATTTCCCTGGAAGATCCAAGTCGGGCATTCAGTTGATTCATAGGGTTTTGTGATAAGGAGGGAAGAACTCTACAAGCTGGCCTATGGTAGGTCACCTCCTAGCTGTGCAGCCTGCTAATTGACTTACACACCCAGGGACCTGGGATTTTCTTCACAGTATGAAAATCAAACAAGATCATGAATATGAAAATCCCAATTCTGTTGCGTGGCCTGTAGTGATCTCACTGATAAACACTGCTTTACTCCAAATCTGAGAAGTAGCCTGAATGCAAGGGAGTTGCCAAGGCGCCCTTCACCAAGCTGTCCTTCCTTCCCTGTGCTCTCTTGCTGCCCACTTGACCCTGCGGT